CTTACAAGTGTAACACAATGGAACTTCACTGTGATCAGTACCTGTAAGTGTAAGCATTCTCAAAGCAAATTTGTCGCTGATTACTCTCCCATCAAACGCCGTAGCCAAAAATGCCCGAATTTTCCTTCCACCGAATCGAGAACACCAACTGCTTTTATCGGCAGAACCTATTTTTTCATTCGTCGACAGCTGGGAGGATGCTCCGTAATTTGCATATCAATATCCTCTTATAGCGACTCCTGCGACGGACTTGTTTCTTTTTCCATCACAGAATACACGTGACGCGCTGTCGCTTGGGTTGACGAAGTAAGTCGCCGTTTTCTTCGCTATAAGATTGTTGCTGACTACTTTTTGGTAATCCTTCTTCGGCAGATCGCACACAAAACACAAACTTTTTTCCGAGGTACCTGATTATCTCTTTCACTACAGTACCACCATATAGAAGTGAACAGTAAAAAATTTTATCAGTGTCTGAAGTGTCTGGTGTTTTTATGACCAACAGTAAAACCTACAAAGTCAGATCTCCAACACTGCAACGTATGCGAAAAAGAAATAAAATAGATAAATTAAAGCTTGTGTGAACAAGTGCCACTTGGCTGGAAGTTAGAAAATTCCTAACAGAGGTTTATATAAAGCCACAATTAAAATAGGAAGTCATTCCAGTACATGCCTGTTGGTGGGGTACAGGCTGTCTGTCACAGAAATTTTGGCTATTAGAGTTGCAAACTTAATAGTGTGCTGTGATGTACAGGTGAGGTAAGAGTCCTTTCTGTTCAAATGTAAGAACTAAACAGTCTATCACGTCAGAAATAACAGTTGTCTGAAATGCCACCTCCCCCAACTGTGCAAGTGAATCCCTGAATAAGTAATTAAATGCATGGAAAACAGTATTTGCATTTTTCATTTCTTGCTGTGGCATTAATCTCACCTTTCGTTTCCTAATAAATACACAAGACCTTTTCAGACACAATGAAGAGTGATTTTCCTGGTCAGTGAAAATGAGAGTTATAGGTTTACAGAATCAGGATTTTCACTTAGCTTAAAAATTATTTACTAAATAACTTATTTAAGTTTTAATCTGTATAGGTAAGCCAAGCCACTCATTTTTAATGTTGATATTAGGAAATGTAATTCTACAGGGAAAACAAATATATTCCAGACCAATCTTTGTTCCTCAGTTTTGTAAGCTATTCATTGAGTTCGCCTTTTCCGGGATAATCTGTAATCATAGCCTTGATCAAAGTTCTTAGAATTGTGTAAATCATTCTATCATTTCTTGAAAAGATCATAGCTTTTGGAGGCAAACATTTTCCTACAGCTCTATAAACCCTTTTTCTGCCACCTACACCTGATGGTGTAACCACATTTAGTGGTCTGGTCCTCAGAGTCTTAGGATGACATTTTAACCATGAGGCTAATTCTGCGCTATTCAATACTGACACCGGTCCAAGCTGGCTGTTGGTCGCTAACTGCTTCAATCCAGATCAACTTTGCAAACATTGTTCTGGATCTCAGAGCAGTGGAAGATCAAATGTCTAGTAATCAAAGTGCTGGTTTGCCATGACAGCTGCTGTATTAAGGGAAGAAATATCTTCACAAACGAAAGTAAAAATGAAAAAAAATTGTTGGGTTAATCAATTAATTTATATAAAAATTAACCCTTCCCACATCAATCTCTATTGTGACACTGTGCCTTGTCTAAAATATTGGGGCTCAAAGTTCTTCAGAGTCAGGAGACCTGGTGGCAACTGACATGGATTCCAGAGGCACTGATGCAGGAATTCGCTGCACAAGTCAAGCTTGCGAAGCTATCTGCTTATATGCACTCTGGCCAAAAACTGGCATGGGACCGAAGGGTTCTGGGGATTGTGAATTCCCAATAATCCTAATAAGGGTTCTTTTTTTTCCCCCCTATCTCTGATTTCTTAATCAACTTTCCAAATTTGAAGAATTATCCACCTTCTTTGGGAATAGTTGCAGGGATTGTCCTCCCGTCAACTCCAACTTGCTTCACTTTACATCTCATAGCATCACTCCATACAGGTGGTATTAAATTCTTGCTCTTCCTCCTTCCCAGGGCAGTCATAGTTTTATTCTAATCATTAATTTTAATTCTCTGGTTCCTTTCTAATTTCCTAGAATTATGTTTGTCCAATAAAAATATAAACCAGACCACAGACATGACTTGCTTTATAACTTTTTCCTTATCATACATTTAAAGCTCAAGAAAAGTGTTCTCATTTAAATTTCAAAGTTTGTTTTTGTTTGCAAAAATTCAACCCAGACCACTGATGATAGAACTTGTTTTCATAACTCCTGTCTTAATTGTACATCTTACCCATTAAGAGAAGTTTCTCATTTAATCTTGTGGGCAAGTGATAAAATTATTTCCCAATTTGTATCATCTGCAAAAATATAATCCAGACCAGATCTATCCACCCCTTGCTAACAATATCAGTTTGCTTAAATTCTCGAAGAAGAGAGAAATTTATTTCTCAATTTGTTTTACCTGCATGCCAGATTCTCAATAGATTAAAAAAAAAAAAACTTTTGGGTGTACTGTAGGGGAGAAGAGAGCCAAATAGTCCCTTTTCCACTTTCACATCACCAAGGAAAATGTCTCCACCCTCTATCTTGCGGCTAATATTTCATTTTAGGTTTAATCCCTTTCCTGGTTTTTCCTGCTTATAATTAACATTTAATCACTTCATGACCTCAGTGCCACAGCTCAACAAAATTGATAAGGTAACTAAAATGGTTTTAAGAAGCATCAACAAGGTTCTGCACATCCCAACAACTTGAAATTTTGACAGAAAAGAAAAAGACAAGTTTCATTGTATCCAATTTTATTTTTTCTTCAAAATCCATTAATTCCAGTTTTCACAGAGGTAATCATTTACTTACACTTACAATTTTCAACATTTTAAATAAAAAATTTAAAAAAGAAAAATAAAACACCTTAAAAATATTTATTGAGAACAAAGAAAATAACTTTTGGAGAGAAAAAAAAAAAAAAAAAAAACAGAAAAAGTGGGGGGAAAAAAGCCAGCTCATATCTTTTTTCATAATTTATAATTATTTTTTTGTAGGGAATATTCACCTTAATGGTTATTTTTCATCTGTATTTTTAGAAAAATTTAGTTTGCATTGAAACACACAAACTTCATATATAATTTATATATATGATTTTGAATATAAAAACTCTTGAAGCCAATATCAAGTTTTTCAACCTAATGGCTTTCTTTTCAAAACTAGATTGATAATGGCTGTGAATTATCCTCCAGCCTTTTTAGTTGAGTTCTGCTGCATCTGCTCACTTCAGCAAACATTTGCTTTTAATCAGACCAACTTGTTACTAAAGGACACGCCCTAACAGGAATGCCCAGTTTCTCTTCAAGAAAGTTGGAGGAGAGAGAGTAAGAGAGAGGGGAAAAAAAAAAAAAAAAGAAAAAAAGAAAAAGAAAGCAGTTTAAAAATCTATTCTGTTCCGAGATGAACCAAATCTGTTGGCGTCAGTAAGAAAGTCAAGTTAGCAACTCTCTAGACATTTCAACAATAATCCTTAAAAAATAAATGATTCTCGTATTTTTTTTTGTTAGGAATGAAGTGTTTGTAAAAGCTTTTCTACAAAGAGATCAAAGCCAATTTTTTTATTTTTTATTTTTTTTAAAAATAAACAAAGTAAGTTTTTCTTTATTGGAGTAAAAACTAGCAAAATAACTTTTTTTTTCCTAATCTTGTAACTTTTATTAACCATTCTATTAAAAAATTAATTTCTATAGCAATTGAGTAAACATTCTTGTTATTAATAATACCAAATTAACCTTTTGATTTTATTTTCAGAGAAAAGGGTAATCTTTTAAAAAAATATCATCAGATGTTTTCACATTACAAAAGGACATTTTCTTGATCAAAATTAAAATTTAACAATTTAAACCAAAAACTAGTGAAAAATTATGGCACCAAAAGTAAGAGAAAAAAATAATATAAATAGAAACCAAACACAAGAAAGAGTTACTTACATGCCAATGATATTCATGAGCAAGAACAGGATGATGAACACACACACACACATTATCTCGTGTAAGAACCAATATGAAAATTGGATGATAAAATTCATCCCACACTCACAGCCAATAAAAAGCAATCAAGCTCCCAATTTTGCTCATTCAGTTAGAGTCCATGACATGTAACAATCGAAGGGAAGTAATCCACGTTATGTCCTCATTACTTTTTATTAGAAAAACATTTAACAGACATGAAGACTGGCACAGAGGGAAAAATCAAAGACAATTTAAAAAAGAAAAAGAAAAAAAAGATCAAACCTAACAGGAAAACTGATTGGGATAAAATAATATAAAGTAAAAAAAAAAAAAAAAAAAAAAAAAAAAAAAAAAAAGAAAAACAAAAAAAAAACAACCCATAATAATCCCAAAACAAAGTTGGCAGCTCCCCCAAATCAGCCATAAACTAGAAAAAGGGCATTTGTAGAACCTTAGTTTTTGAGGGGACCTTTTCATCCAGTTTTAAAAATTTATTTTCTGTTTTAATGAGCTATGAATTTGTATCAAATCATTTATTTTTATTATCATCATCATTATTATTAAAATTAAATCTATCAGATAAAAAAAAAAAAAATTCAACAAAGAAACAAAAACACCCTTTTCTAGTTTATTTGTTTATTTTTTTTTTCTTAACTAGGAAATATAAACTCTTGTTTGATCAAATCTATTTTCAGAAAATGTTGCAGGCAAAACTGTTTATTTTGATCTCATGCAGATATGATGCAGCCAGTCAATGCCAGGTTCATGGATGGTCAAATGACAAGAGCAACGTTGGACTGTGTTTGGAGTTGCTGCTAAGAAAAGAGGAAGAGCAGCAGCAGCAGCAGTTTTGCCCTGTTGTTGTTGTTATTGTTGGAAAATCAGGGATGGAGGAAGGAAAAAAGACAGCAACTGGCAGATTGGCTGAATACTGCCACTGCTGCTGCTGCTTCCAATTCAGGATAAGTTTTCTTGGTAATCTTCATCATCTTCATTGTTTAAGTAATTAAATTTATTGGCATCAGTCCAATCCTGTTAGTGAAGATAAAAGATGTGTGATAAGTTTAGACTAAATAAAAGAAATTTTTCTAAAATAATAATAATAAAAATTTGGAGATGACATTACAATTGGATTTCAATTAGGCATCAAAGCTTATATATGTAAATTATTTTTTAGATAAAGTGTATCTGTCAAGGAACAAAATGAATAAAAAGACAAGAGAAAAAACTATTTTTAGCCAATGCATTTTGTCCTCTCAGGGACCTTAAGGCAAATGTAGGATTTATTTTGTTGCAATATACAAAAGCAAGGATCTCATTGGTTTATCAATTTTGAAACCATTCATGAATATTCTTCAGGTGGTTCAAAGGTCAGTCAAAACGTGGTGGACACAAAATGCCATAATTCAAAGTCTGGTAAGGTAAAATTGAGAAATTTATTTTTGTATTTATTTATTTATTTTTTTTTTTATAAAATAATATGTTCTGATAGATCTGTTTAAAAAAAATTCCAGTGCTTTTCCAGGACCATGTTAAAAATATTCAAGGACTGAAACTGACACACATACACACACACAAAGTAAATGGTCATCAATTTCAAAAACCAAATTCTGTGATTTATCATTTAATAGTTTGATAGACGAAATATTCAAAGAAAAGTTACAGCTGGTTCCAATAATTCATGTCATATGGATCAGTTGAAAGCCATGAAGAAATCCAAGTGTTGAAGGCTAAAATACAACTGTGCTCAGACCTGGTTATCTTACATATTTTGTGTAGCATTCTAGTTTAGAATTCTAATACACTTGAAAATTTTGAATTACAAACTAATTCTTACTGTGACATATTTCAGCTATCTAGACTACTCATGGTTTGCGAATGTTGCAAAAATTTTTGATTGCTGCACATTTCCTGTGAAATATAATGGTTTTAATGAACAGAACTACAAATAGAAAATTTCACAAAAAGATTATACATTTTACCTACCCTTACTAATCATGGCTTTCATTGCACATAGTACAGAACACAATGATGTTAACATTTTTTTAGTTCATCTAGATTAGCATTTACCTCCTCTTGCAATTGTTATCTCTATGGACTTGTCCTTTGCAGATCTTCACATGGCATTGGACTTTGCGATAAATGTGAAGTCGGCTCAGTTTTCTCTGCAAAGGTGTCAGCGGACTTGAGCAAGTCTTGTGAGCAACTTTCAAGATTGTGTTTTTTGGTTTTAAGTTCTTCAATTTCCACAAGCATTGATTTCCGTTTTTGTCCAACTGCTCCTTCCTGCCTTTTTTCTTCTCAGCCTCAAGGTATTGTTTGTATGCTATTCTAGCATTGGAACCACTGCAAAGAGCCTTAGTCATGGGGGAGATTCCCAGCACCTCCAACTGTGACCAAAACATTCCATGATAATGTGCTGTGCGATATTGTCAGTGGTTATCCTTATTGACTGAGAAAACTCTCTCCACTGATGCCTGTCTATGAGAGAGTACCAGCAATCTGTGAATAACTTTCCAGTTTTCGATATTCTTTGTTTCTAGACAAAGAATAGAACAAAGTGCCTAGATGGTGTTCATGCTTGCTGAAATTCTTGAAAGCAATATTTCCAGCAGCTTCTTCCTCCTCCTCAAACTCTTTGTACTGACTGATGATGTTATCACAACCAGACTTGCTGACTTGTTTTCTGTCCATCATGTAGAAAAGACATCTTTTTAGACAGTCTTCTGTGGCAAATTTCATTTTTTCACAAATGGATCCAGGATTCAGCCATGCAAGTGACCTTACAGGAGGGTATTTAAGGGGAGACTTTGCTGGAAGTTTCTCAATGATGGCAATGAACAGTGCTGCAATTCTGCATGCAAAGAGATCTTTTGTTAACACATTTGCAGCATCTTTGTACATTTTTGGGTTTGACAAAATTCTTACAAATTCATTTATCTTTTTAGTGTGCTCACCCTCATAAATCTTAAGTTTCATGATCATGTTAAAAAGATAATCTGCAAAGGAAGGTCCAAAAAACGTGCAGTCAATTTTTTTTTTCAACTACTTAAAAATAAAATTAGTCAAAACAATACAAATTCAGTAAACAAAAATACAAGTTATACAACAAATTCATAAAACCCCCTCTTCTTTTAAACCTACAAATAAGAGAAATTGTTACCATTACCTTTTTCACTGTATCTTGATACTGGGGCATTTCCTCATAGGATTTTGGCATTTGCTTTTCTCTTGGATTTCGTCTAACAAAAGAAAATGACTAGTTAAAGACATTACCTCATTTACAATAAGAAATTTAAAATTCAGAGCCAAGCATTCAGTTTATTTACTTGTAATTCTTGTTTTCTTTGTTGACAACCAAAGTAAAACAGATTTCTGACAAGAGTCATCATCATTGCAAAAGTTGTTCAGACTATTTGAACTCTGCTTTGTATTGTTTTTGTTGTTCTTATAACATTTTCTTTCTGAGACTAGCAATTTTTCCTTTGATTGTACATCTGTGATTGTGGTAATATAAGCCACACAAAAAACAAGTCCAAGAGTACAAACAGCTCTTGACAAAACAAATTTCTTAAAATCTGAGCAAATGATGTTGCTAAGGAAACCATGAGAACTAGCGCTGTGGGTGTATCTAGGGTAAGATAACCTGATGTAGCCAATCTCTCTTTAGGCAGGTTTTGAATTCCAAGTTGTTTTTCTCCTACCAAAAACTAAAGAGCCCTGTTTGATCTGCTATTTGTTGTTGTTAACCCTGTAGAGTATAGACATTGCTGCTGTGGTTCTGTAGGAAGTATGTTTTTATCGGGTGGAGTTGCTAGCCTCACATTCAACTGGTTTTGAATTCAGAGTTGCCCTCCTCCTAAACTGGTTGCCAACAAAGGCTAGAGAGCTCAGCTATTAACTCCTAGCTAGGAGGTGGGAGAAAGAAAAGAAGAAATGGATTCATGCCTTTCCAAGAGTAATTGTCTGAAAGTGTATACAACTGCCTCACCTGAAATTTGAATTTAACACACCAATCCCATCACACATTGGCTGTCTTATTTACAAGGGTTTGATTCCAGAGTTTTTCTTCTAGACAGGTTACCATCCAAGGCAAGAAAACTCTGTTTCCTCTACTATTTAAACCTAAGCTGGAAAGAGATGGACTCCTGACTTTTCCAACAGCATTAGTGTTCATGTGTGTGTGTGTGTGTGTGTGTGTGTGTGGCAGAGTGATTAAAACATTCTCTTTTTGACCACGAGACCCAGGTTGAATCTCATTCTGGTTGATTTGTTAGGGATGTGACTTTCTGATGTTATAAGGAGGCAATCCCAGTGTGCGGCACCATTACAAAGTGTATGGAAACCACACCATGGGCTGGCCTGGCCCAAGCCTTGTTAGAGATATTAGGTAGACAAAACTGTTTGAAAGCCATTGATGGTTGTAATAACACAAAATCACAAGTCATTGAGGCCAGATTATGTCCTCTCTCCAAGAAGCTTTAACTAAGGTCTGCTCAGTATAGTCGCAGTATAAACCACAAGCCCAGTGGGTGTTGAACAAGCACGAATGTACCTGAGCAGGTGTCTGTAATATGAATTGGCTACCTTGGCTACCTAGCCTACCAGATGGGCATGCTCAAAAAGAGTAGCAATTATTATTATATAATATAATAATTGTACTTGCTCCTGCCATTGTTATTTCATACAACCATTACACATTGATAAATACCTCATAAATAATCGACTACCCTGTTTTGATCAGGTGCAAAGAAGAGAAAGACACTACTTGGTTTCAGTGAGAAAATGAAAGAAAGTGAAGAGAGAGAATCAGATTAAGTTGATAAGATCAGATACTATACTTTGATCTTAGTCAAAAGGCAGAGAATTGATGGTAACCACAATAAACGCACTATTTTTCAGACACACAGCACTGAACACCGGAAACTGAGTAAGGCAATGGCCAAAAATCCAGTTACCATAAACAAAATAGCAGCATCTGCTGAATTATTATTAAGAGAAGTGTCCATTAAGACGGGGATTTAGCTAGTTATTATTATTAGAGTTAAATAAACAAGAGAGACCCAATCAGAATTAGAACCTGGTACACAAGTTGCATGGCTTACACCAATAATCACTATGCCACCCAAAAACTATAACAACAACAACAAAAATAAAAGGTGCCAACCAAAACTGATTAATTCAAGAGAATTTCAATACATAAGAAATATTTGTATGACAGATGTCAATACAAAAGACAAATACAGAATACAATTATATTTTTCAAGACATTGCCAAGCTCTGACAATAAGGTATTAAATAAACAGTAAACCGTAATCGATAAAAATCTGCTTAATTACCCTTTCTCACTTGCAGGTTTGCCTGCACGTTTATGCTCATCATCAGTCGATATTGATCTCCTGTCTGAAAGAAAATCAACAAAACTTCAGTAAACAATTCTACTAATTACAATAAGTTGAACCAATAAGAGGCAATTGTTTACAAAGTCACCAAGAACTCTTGAATATAATAACACTACAGAACTGAACCATAAGCTTCCACATTTGTGTTACAAAGTTAACTATTTTTTGTCTTAACTTGAACGACAAAACAAAAAGGATTATGTCTTAGGCATACATGCATTTTATACAAACCTATTTGATAGATTATTGTATAAGGAGGTGCTGAAAAGTTTTTAACCTCAGGTCTAAATTGAGATCACTAAGGTTCTGTTGACATACAAGTGTATTTTAAAAATGAGTTACAATCTAATTTCTATTACTATATGGTTAAAGTAAAAATCAAGCATTCAGATGCCTGATGTAAATCGGGCTGTATCATACCAATGTAAATTTTGAATCTATGAAAATATTTCCAACAAATATATGTGCATGGCATACATGCATTTTATACAAAACTACCTCATAGATTACAAGGAGGCACTGAAAATCCACCCCCCCACCTTACAAAGTCTGACCAAAACTCAGAATTTCTTTTGCAATGCATTCTTGAATTCTTGTAAACTTTTCAGCAACCCCACTTTTCCAAAATTATTTCACTCCAACCAAGGCAACAAAGCCACTAGGATGCAGAAGGAGGGGTTATTAAGTGTTACATAATATGAGATTCCCCACCTCTCTCTGGAAAAAAAAAAAAAAAAAAAAAAAAAAAACACAAACCACAAAGACTAAAGAGAGACAACAATAAAAGAACATAACTGCTATGGGACATAAAGGGAAATAAAATTATTGAATTACTTGAGAACTTTTCAGCAACCCCACTTTTTCAAAATTATTTCACTCCAAAGTAAGGCAATAAAGCCACTAAGACGCAAGGGTGGGGGGAGTACTAAGTATTTCTTAATATGAGAAAAGAAAAGAAGACGATTAAATAGAGAGAACAATAAAAGAACATATATCGCTATGGGATGGGACAGAAAAGGATAACCAAATTATTTACATTGATCCATTTTAGAATGTTAACGAGATCATCAATCAATAAAAACAAAACCAGTTTCCTTGTGTCTTTTACTATAAACAATCACAATCCAAAATTTATTATAAATAAACTTACCATTTTCTCTGTTTGAGTCCATCTGGTTCTTCTTCCATTTATTTGAGGATTCATAATAATTCCTATCCTGTAAAAAAAAAAAAAAAAAAACCTTTTCAATGACAATTCTAAAAAACATTTGAGGTGGTTAGTTGATTTGCTTGTTTAATGGCATCAACTCTTTACGGGTCATTTAATGTAGAAATTTAATTTTCTTGGGGACTTTGAAGTAATACATAATGAACATAATATGCGAACATAATTATTTGAACAGTGATATGTGCATTTTATGTTGTAGAAGTTATATTTTGAAATATTGTTAGAAATTGTAGGATATTATATGGACTGATGTCATGAAAGAGTGCTTTCGTGTTGATTGACGTATTGTTGGCAATTTTTTTTTTTTAATATAATAATGTACTGCTGGTACTTTTTATTATAAAAATGTATTTTTATACTTTCATAGTGTTCATTATTTGCCCACTGCTGGGTCCTTAACAGGTGCTGGACCTGGGAACAGCAATTAAGAGGTGCACCTCAAAACCTCCAATCTCCTGATCAGAGGTCTTGTTGTCAGATGTAGCTTATTGTCATACTCAGGACTCTTTGGAGATGGGGGCACAAAAGTTTCACAGGTTCTCAAAAAGATGACTTAACAGATGCAAAAGATGATGGATGGATGTTGGATTTAACGGCATGTCAACTCCTATTTGGGTCAATTTATGCCGAAGCCTTATTAATTTATGAATTTAAGATGGTTATTTTGTATAAAAGGGCAAAAGATGATGGATTTTTCAAGATTGTACACAGACTTTCGCATCTCTAACAAAGCCTGGCCGGGGGAAACAAAATAGAAGCTAGATGCACACCATAGAGCAACAAGTCTTGCCAGTGAATGACTGCTCACCTCATTATAGGAATTATCTTTTCCACTCTTCTGTTCTGTTTTTCGTCTCTCCCAAATGTTCTCTTTGGGTGGAGGTGCAGGTACCATTTTTGCAGGAGCATCTTCTTTCCTTGGAGAAGGTGGAGCAGGTTTCTCTTCTTTTTCATCAGAATAAACCTCAGACGTGTTAGAGTTGTTACTGTCACGACGAGTTCTGCTTTGGTTTAATGGTGCTGTGGAAACAACCAATCATTATAAAGGGTGTTTCAATAAATTGGACTGATTTTAATGTGAATTAAGTTTAAATGTCTAATGATTTTTTTTTCTTTTTCTTTCAGATTTGGCAGACATTTGGGCAATATTATTTTTCACACATAATTGCCATGACTTAAATATCATGATCCAATAGAGAAATAAATAAATTTTCACCAATAAAACTGATTTATTTACTGCTAACTTTGATCTGTCTTAATGAAACACTCTTATATATAATGCATTTTAATGAAACACCCTTTATAAGACAATTTTGAAAATTTCTATTTTGACAAATGAACCAGCTTTATCAGAAAAATAATTTTATTTGAATAAAATCTAGATTAATGGGGCATTAGATTGTAACTGATTTCAACTCAATTTTTCATTTTGTCATATATCCCCTCACCCAATATTGTTCTTGATATATAAAAATTTATATATCATTATCTCGTTCATTTATGTTAAGGCTTACATATTTAATATTAATAGTTTTAGTAATTATTTAATATAAACAAGCAGTAAGCTGAAATAGCATGGGACTTGTATATTACAGCACTTTCAATACATCATTGTTTAAGTAAATTATATCCTTTATCATTATTATTATTAAAATGGCATTTTCCAGGTCCAAATTAAGATCCCTTAGGTTCTGTTGACATACAGTTGCATTTCAGAAATGAGTTACAATCTAATTTCTATAACAATACAATTAAAGTAAAAATCAAGCAGATACTTTATGTGAATCAGGTTTAATCTTGCTAACGTCAATTTTGAATCTATGAAAATATTTCCAACAAAAACTTCTTAAGATATGAAATAAAATTGAAAAATATATAAGATATCAATTTAAATTGTCCAAAGTTTTGCTCCATTTAGATTGGGAGAAATATGAATTTTGAGTTCAGTATTGTTCTTTCTACGTTTTCAACTCCCTTCCAAAAAAAAAGAAAAAAAAAAAAAAAAAAAAAGAAAGAGATTTTATCTTGTATAATATGCATGTATAAATTCTTATTTCATCAAGTAAGGAATGCCAGAATATTTTTTTGGAAACAATGAATAAGAGATAAAGTAACTGTGTGTGTAAACAATACAACCCTATGGAAATACATATGGAGCCAAAAAGAAAACAATATCCCAACAAAATCAAATGGGAAATTATAAAAAAGAGCAGCCCCATACAGTTATAACAGTAAAAATTGTAAATCATGATCAGAAGAAAAATTAGCAATAATTAGTTTTAAAAACCAAAATAAACTCTTAAACGAGAAAACTGAAATAATGGGTAAATGTAAGCATATAAACAAATACTTACTTTGCCATCTAAGCACTAATTAAAAATAAACAAATAGATATAATATAAACTTTAAATATATAAATAAAATAAATATAATACAAATTTTAAAAAAATAAACTAAACAAACTTAATTTATTAACAAACGAACAAATATTAACATATACACCTATATGCGTGTACATATGTATATACATATAAATATATATAAAAACACCAAAAAATGAACAAACGTAACATCCCATAATTATTACCTTAATATATAACGCCAAAGCAAAAACAAATAAACTACTAACCATTAGATGAAAATAAAAAATGATACATTAAATAAACAATAATGTATGATATAAGATTACACTTATTTTAATTACATATATGCTATTTAATAATTCATTATATGTTTGTGTGTGTATGTATATATATATATGTAAGCAAATATATGGATATAGATCTGGCAGTATGAAGAAAAATATATGGAAAAACAAACAAAAATCCTAATATGCAATTATGCTGTTTTAATGTTAATATAATGTCAACGTCAGACGTTTCGGTCTAATAGACCGTCTTCAGGACATATTCATAAAACATAATTAACATTAGACTATATTCAATTCAACATGAAAAAGACGATGGACATAAGAGCAAGACTAATCCAAACATAACTGAAATTTTTACAAGATCAGCGTTCCGTTTTAATATGATCACGCCGTCACTTTATAACATGGAAGACTTCAAGCTTATACAAAAATATAAGAATCTATTGATCCCCCGCATATTCCTATAAGAACAGAAAGGATTTCTTAACAACTGTTTATATGAGAAAATCGTTCAATCGACCTTATCTAATATTTTGAAATCATCTTCGAATACGTTTTCACATCGCCCACGTGACGACGATGTGATCTGCATTATATTAACATTAAAACAGCATAATTGCATATTAGGATTTTTGTTTGTTTTTCCGTATATTTTTCTTCATATATATATATATATATATATATATATGTTACAGTGGAACCTCAATTTAATGGATTAGTAGGGGAGAGGATTGCCCATTAATTTAAAGCACTTTTTTGTGCCCTAAAAACACCTAGTACAGTACAAAATTATTGTAAATAAATGTAAATACAGTGTGTGTGTATATATACACACACACACACATCAAACTTCATTGTAAAACCATAGAGTTTTTCCTTACTACTACATAGGTCACTTACAGTTTGTTTTTACACAATGGATTCCTCAAATACTCTGGCCACGGAAATTCTCGACTCCAACTTAAGTTTCAATTTATCATGAATAATAAGGTTAGTTCATGACTGGGTGCCATAATGAAGGGCCTGACAAAAAACTATACTGTACCAAAATAAATGTAAAATGTTTGAGAAACGATACAAGTGTGTAGACGATGACTGCTCAAATAAGCAACAGAAGCTATTCTTGCAACTACCAGTATCTGTCTGTTGACTGCGTTAGTAAACAGCAATAGCCAATTCTGGAACTAACGGACTTTGCTTGCTACATGTGGACATTTTGAGTTCCAGCTGGACACTACCATTTTTGCAGATTCTGTCCGTTAAATTTGGAGTTTTTTTTAGTTCTAGGGCCGTTAATTTGAGATATATATATATATATATATATATATATATATATACACACACACACACACGTGTATAAATATCCAAACAACAAATTCTATTAATCCAACTAACCAACCCAACCATAATTAATACCCTAAAAATAGAATAAATTACTTCACCATTTAAGCACTAGTTTATTAATAAAAAGGCATAGGCATAAGTTTACATGTACTTGTATATGCACATCTGTGTATATGTGTGTGCTTATGTATGCCTACTTATGTAGGTGCATGTATGTGTACATGTGGGTATGCATAGGTTGTATAAAAAGCAGACATATGCACATAAATTCTAACAATAAATTTAACCATAAATCCGACCTTCTACAATTAACACCAAACCAAATTAAAAAAACAAAGTAATGGCTTAGTGAATGTGTGTGTGTGTGTGTATATATATATATATATATATATATATATATATGGTACTTGTTTGGAAAAACCTTGGATAGCTCAACCTGCAGTAGAACAAATTGGTACCCGAGAAAAAATGGGGAATAAAAAAAGAAAGAAGAAAGAACCAAGAACATTAAAACAAGGCAAAAACAAAATCAAGTGTTTAAGCTCTAAGTCTAAAGAAAAAACCCAAAACGAGTAAAAAGACAACTACGTAAAGTGCTCAATACATTAAGTAGAGCAAACCTAAGATAAGATAATCCTAATGAGCCAGGCAAACCTACTTAGATTTCACCTAAACGGATCTTCAGGGAACAGCCTTCCTTTGAACAATTTTTGTCAAATTTTAAACTAGTCAGATGTTAAAACAAAGCTAGAGTTACATTTTTAGGTATTTTCAACACGTAGAGTTATTTGATTTATTATAAATTAATAAAGACCTACTGTATATACATATACATGCATGGGGCATACATATACATAAAAGATGTTCCAGTAACTTGGACCAATTTTGATGTGAATTAAGTTTAAGCATTTAATGATTTTTTTTTTCTGTTTCTTTCAGATTTAGTGAACATTTGGGCAATATTATTTTTCACACATAATTGCCATGACTTAAATAACATGATCCAATAGAGAAATAAATAAAATTTTAAAGTTGCATTAACCTACTTTACTAATCTACTTTTTGTGTGAATGATTCATTGTAATATAAATTGAACTGCACCACATATTTGATTTAAAAGAACTGATCCGACATGCAAAATTTGGGGATAACCACTGAGACATTACTCTATTTAATGAACAATTTAGTTCATGCCACATTGACTGAAAAACTCCAACAAAAAATTCTCAAATTACCATATTAGTAAAAAATGCACTCTCTTAAATTTTCAAAAAATTCAACCTTAGCGTTGTGACTGCATGCTCCAAAAGTTTTTATCCGTTAACAATAACACATTTCTGAAAAAACATATTTCAATTTGCATTTAATCTTTCATCTCCACTACTACCTGGATTTACTAAAAACAAAATAATTTCCATGGCTGAGGATGACTGAATGTACAGTTGAAAGTACTAGCAGATTAAAAAAAGATCTTATTCAACATGTACTTATTAAAAACAAGGATCATAACATTCATCAAGTGTTTCGTAGGTTAATGCAACTTTAAAATTTTGTTTACGAAGAGATTTCACCATTTTATATCGTTAACTTTACTAATCTACTTTTTGTATGAATGATTCATTGTAATATAAATTAAACTGCACTATATGTATATATATATGTATATATATATATATATATATATATATATTAGACATTGAAATTTATCACTTCCATAGCTTGCCCGACATTTCACCTCACTTAATGTATGAATATTGATGAGTGTTCATAACTCAAAAATTTTGAAAAACCAATAACATCTTTGCTCTTGTATATAAATACTTGTTACAAAATAAAATCCTTGCATTTACTTTGATAAAATACCACAGAGGACAAGATAAGTTTTCCTTTTGTCTTTTTCATATTGACTCTTTAGAGAGATACTCTATCTGAAATTTTGTACACACACAAATGTGTATGTGAGGGTGAGTGTGTGAGAGGCCTGCAGCTTTGGAGAAATGTTTTCAAGTTACCAATGGTTCATTAACTAAGGGAAATAACTCGACATTCGAAATCAGCACTCAATTTTGAAAAAGAAAAGTTTCTACTCAAAACAGACCAAGTTTCCTTCAAGTTAATTTTCATAAAAACTGTTAGACATAAATTTAAAAAACATTTTCTTAAAAGTTCAATCTAAAATAGAGTACTCATCTATAAGATTCTATAATCTTTTTGGGAACTGTGAACAAAGTTTGACATTACAGATTAAAATTGTGAAACTTATACTTTGTACTTACAATAAATCTGAGAACAAAATGGTTCCACCTTGTATGAATTTTTTGATGAGGTCTTTTAATCATTATATTTTAGTTAGTTTGGATGAATCACTCTAATCAGGAGTGACAGGTTTGAGAAAGAAAATACATGGCCCTTCAGAACAAAGTTCAACATTCCAAAATACAATTGACAACCAAATGTCGCAGGATATATTCACTGAAACCTTGTGATCAAATAAGTCATGGAAAATTCAATGTGGGTTTTACAAGTAGGTGAAATCTACAAGTGGTAATTGCTTGGAATGAGACTAACATTGCAGGTTAAGTGGATGGAAGACCTAACTAGGTAATTTGGATTTTACAAGCAAACCAGAAATACTTTGAGGTTATCTGGTTTATACAAAATGAAATCCTTTATTTTTAACTAAAGTTTGAAAGAAGAGGTGAAAAATTAAATTTTTGTCATGTAATACAGCTTTGGTAAAGTTGTATTTACATGACACAGAAGGCAATTAGTTGGCAGGAGTCAGAAGATAATAGCAGAGGGTAATAAAAAGTTCTTTATCCAACCAACATACCAAAAATCTGACCAAACAATTTATTTTGTTTTGTTTAAAGGGCTTCTTTATCAGAGCTTCTTGGCCAAGAACTTTTCAGCACCCTTCACATCCTGCTGATTAGGAACAAATAGACATTTTGTTAAAAGAAAATTATATTTCCTGAATATCATGAATGGAAGGAAAAATAGAGTTTGGAAAAAGCATTTTGATTTATGAATGAGGAAAACTGATAAGAATGTAGAGATAAAGACTTTTTTTTTTTTTTTTTTAAAGTATTTCACCCTAAGCAAGGTAGGAGCACCACTAGCATGCAGGGGGTTAGAGAGTGAAAGTGAGGTGAAAAAACTGTATATAGACAGGACTGAGGAAAGGATAAAAAAAGAACAGGGATCAAAGCAACAGAAAATGGCAATTGATATTGCATTTAAATTTAGGAAGACTGTAGTTATCAGGGAAGCAAATAAGAGGAAGGGAGTTCCACTGTTGGGAAGCGCGAGAAAAGAAACTTAAGTAGAAGTAGCAGTTGTATTTAACTATTTCAACAATAAAAAGGTGGGACCTAGATATCAATCTAGTAGCACGTTTAAATTCATGTAGTTGGGGCATCAGGGAAGATAGCTCATCAAAACAGTTACCATGAAAATATTTGTAGAAAAGACAGAGGGAAGCCACATCATATCTATCAGAAAGTGACTGAAGTCGAGATGTCAAGCCAGGACTAATTACATTGCAGATCCTTCTTTGGATTTTGTTAAGAACCCTCAAGATAAACAGCAGTGGCACCAGACCAGATATAGCAACAATATTCAATGCATGGACCAATGGTAGATTTGTAGATGTGCAGGATGGATTCTGACAAGAAAAACCTTCTGGCACAACACATTTTAATATAGATAATGATGACACTAAAAAAGTATAATTTTCACCAGAGAAGGTAGTTAACCAAAGATGACCTATATGATGATGTAATAAGCATGGTACCACCCTGATGATGGTAAGAGGGACCTGGACAAACGAAATAGCAAAGTGAAAACACTGAAACTGGAATCAAGCCAATTTTTGGAAAAGAGTGAGTGGGATTTATGGATGAATCAATTATCAAAAGCCCCAAACATACCAAGGGATCTTCCATATAATCCATTTGAATTTGACCTGCAGCTGATGCTGGGATGACCAACAGATGAACCACCAACAACCACCACCCTCGGCTACTTTTGTAACAAGATAAACTTATCTTAGAAAAGGGCCTCAGAGAAAGATTTTTCTAACTTAAGAATTTTTGCTTGCAGAATAGTCAAGATTGAAGACCAAATTTGTTTGCAGGCATGACACCAGAGTTCCCTGTCTTTAATAAGTCAGTGAATGGTTTAATGAACCGGTGATGAGAACTGACAGATCAGTCATAGGTTGGAAATCACAGCAGTATCAAATGGGGAAAGTAAATATCACAACCTGCAACTCAAACTGAATAAATGCTTTATTATAATTGGACATTTTTTTTTCATCAATCACCACATCTCCATTATTGGATTTGTTTGGTGCAACAGCAATAAACTTCACCCAAGGACCTTCTCAAACCTAAAATATGCACAAATGTGATGAGGATGGCTGGTTGAGAAAGACCAAAGGGATTTTGTCATTGTAATAGCCTTTATACTGTACTTGTTATTTTCTATTCTGCAGAATTTGGTTTGGTTGATTTTGTTTAGTGACATATCAACCTCTATAGGTAATTTAATGCCAAAATCTAAATATTTTGAACACAATTTTATGGCTTCAGCTAAATATATACTATAAATATAAGTATTGTTGGAATTTTTAATTTTTTTTTTTTTTTTACATAAAAATGTGTTTTTATATTTTCATAGTGTTTTGTTTTTTCTTGGGGGCCCACTATTTGCCTATAGCTGGGACCTTAACAGGTGTTATCACCCCTATTCTGCAGAGAGAATATTGTGCTCTATTAGTAAAATTAGGTTGTTTGATTTTGTTTAGTGGCATATCAACCTCTATGGGTCATTTAATACCAAAATCCAAATATTTTAAACAATTATATGGCTTTAACTAATATACTATAAATAGGTATTGCTGGTAATTTTATTATAAATATAGTTTGGTTTATTTTGTTTTATGGTATATCAACACCTCAATGGGTTATTTAATGCTGACAAGATTTTCAGAAGTTTATATGAATAGAATGTATTCTTTGTAAGAAATCAGTTTGTAGATCAGGTTTCATTGACATTTTTGTTGATAGTCAAATGTATTGCTGGTATTTTGACTACAAAAATTTATTTTTATACCTTCATATTGTTTTGACCCCAGTTTGGTCTTTAACTCTTTTCCCATAGACGGGATCATAACAGGTGCTACCATCCCAGGTCAGAGTAGACCTAGGAACAACATCAATTTAGGGGTGGTTCCATGCTCCTCAAAACCTTCTGATCAGAGGCCTTGCTGCCAGATGTAGTTTGTCATCATAACACAGGACAAAGTAAAATTAGGTCTCATTTGATTACAAAGGCAACATTATGTTTCATCGTTACAGCATGGAACCGTCTGAGAATATTAGTACTAAAAGTTAAGTGCAATGTGCTTAGGGACAGGTATGTCTATTCTCTTTGTTAGTTAACATTGTTTGGGCTTCAAGATCCTGTTATAATTGCGCTTATTCCTCTCTTTGTTAGTTTGTACGACCGTTATGCCATGCCAATACCTCATAAATAATGGACTATTAAGTTTTGAACTGTATGGAAAGAGGAGAAAAGATACCACAGGGTTTCATTAAGAAAATGAAAAGAGAAGAAGTGGTGAGAGAGAGAGAAAATCAGATTAAGCTGATACTACACTTTGATCTTAGCCAAAAGGCTGAGATTGATGGCAACCATGATAATCACAACATTTTTCAGATGCACATTATTGCACGATGGAAATCAAGTAAGACAATGGCTAACGATCCAGTTTCCATAAACAAAATAACATCATCTGCTAAATTATTTAAAATTATTATTAAGAGAAATGTCTGTAAGATGGGGATTTGGCTAGTATGAATAATTCTCACAAAGAGAGAAAACAAATTTGTAACTTATTTTGGGGTGCTTTTATTTAAAAGTACTTAAAATACAATTTGACCTAATTTTCAAGTGAGTCTATCTCCTGACCATGCACAAGATTGTTGTCTTTTACTGGCAAGATTTAAATTGATGTTATCAATGCTTTACAATTATAGGTTGGGGGAAAATGGCTAAAAGCAAAAGAACAAATAACTTACCAGGTTTTATTCCTTTACTTTGACTGGAGTTACTACTAAGCCTCCTTTCTCTTCTTGAAGATTCCTTGTCACCTTCAGCTCGATATGGACGATCAAAATTTCTAAAATGAAACAAAATGTCAGACCATTACAGACAGCAAATATAATTAGTACAAACCTTTCAAAGCTGACATATTGCAAACTGTTTCTAATCACGATAGATTATAAAGTAAGTTTTAAATTTAAGTCTACAACAAATAAGAGGAAGATTTTAGGATGCTTGGACTGTGGTAAGTGTTATCATTTAACACTTTAGCATTCAACATGCCGAAACCTGCCCTGTAAATATCAACACTCACTGTTTGTGTGACTTTTTGGTAACCTTGGACTTGTTTGAACAAATAGACCTTATGTTAAAAGGAAAAGAATATGTTTACTGAACCACTTCACTGGAAGGAAAAATAGAGTTTGAAAAAAATGAATTTGGATTTATGAGGAAAATTGATTGTAAAGATATTATTAAACACATGTTATTTAATATAAATAATCTTAATATAGATAATATAGTAAGGAAAAATAAAATTTGGAAAATGCATTTGAACTTATGAAGCAAATTGATAAGAATGTAAAAAGACGTTATTTAATATAATCTTAATATAGATAATATAATAAGGAAAAATAGAGTTTGGAAAATGCATTTCAATTTATGAACAAGGAAAACCGATAAAAACAAAGATAAAGACATGTTAATTTAATATAGATAATGCGGACACTAGAAACTTATAATTTTCACCAGAGACTGTAATTAGCCAAAGGTGATCTATCTGAGGATGGTAAGTAAGACATGACCAAATGAAATGGCAGAGTAACAACATTAGAACTGGACTGCTTTATTTGCAATAATGTCGGCATATATTATGGCAGACTATACATGGGACAGCATGGTGGAGTAATGGATAGCGTCTCGGATTGAGGAATCGGAGAGTCAAGTTTGAATTCCAGTTGAATCAATTACATTCACTTATGTGAATTATTAATACCCTTGGGAAAGGTATGAATACTCCTCTTCTCCACCCAGCTATGTGTAAATAGCAGAACAAACTGGGTTCTACAGCCTTGGTTGGCAACTGGTCTACTACAGAAAGAAATGGCAACCTACTGTGGGAAAAAATCTGCATTGTCAGTCATGTATTGAAAGATACATGACTGTCTAAGTGTGTATCATGCATGGTACGTAAATGATACATGGGACAGATTACGGTGGGATGGACATTAAGAGACAATATTTACAGGGTAGGTTGGAAACAGAAAAACTATAATTGAATGACACATTTGAAAAAGAGACAACAGCCGCAAAAATCAAATCTCATTTCAACTTGGAAATAACATTTTCTTTGTAAATTTATTCTGCAGGAGTTACATTCCTACCTGATTATTTATCAGTTAGAATTTCAGAATTGGAACAAGCTGAAAATACTGGACAATTTTTTCAGTCCTCCTCAGATTCCAAGCTTTTTCTCACTTGAATTTACAGAGCTTACACCTCAGCTATCTACTACAATCAATAAACAAAGTACTAGGCTTAAAGATTTTTTTTTAAGATTTAACCTTTTGTGGATTATTTAAAGATAAAGAATAATTTGGATTTTAAGAATATTTCTTTTTTTTTTTTTTGAGAGTGAATATTGAATTAAGAACTTTTTGAAAATAATCTTTTCAGATAAAAGTGCTACTGTTTAACCCATAAATGGGGAAGGGAAAGAAAGTGGATTCATACCTTTTTCAAGAGTATTTGCACATAATTGAACATAACGAACCTAATTGGAATTTGATTTTTGGCTTTCTGATTTCCATGCTATCCTCTTCACTACCCACACATCCTTTATGATTCAACAAGCAACACATTAAAAAGACAATGCATTTAGACACACTGTGCACTTTTAGTATTCAGCATAGAAATTACATCAGTTTTAAATAAAATTAATATGATCTCTTGTTCAAAGACATTAGCAGTGATCAGAGTTAAGATATTTCTATACAAACATTTTATCAGGTTTCCAAGCACTATAAAATGAAGTTTTTAACTTTTCAATAGGACAACTTAAAGAAAAAAAAAAAGAATGAAGCCAAAATACAGGCTTTTTCACATATCAACCAAGTACATGAAAAAAGGCATAAAAATTGTGACTCAAGGAATTTAAAACTTGTAAGAGTTATTAAACCTTATCACATTATATCTAACTAGATGGAGCCATAGAAATTATATGGCTGACACTCGACATCGTGTCTACATTTTAAGGGAGATAAATTGTAAGTCTTGTAATTGTAGTCATATACTACAGATAGCATTATATTAATTTTTCAAATAGTTTTTTATGATATCTTACGGAAACTAATCATTTCAGGCTAGCATATCATATACCATTTCACTGAAACAGACATTAAATGCACAAGGACATTACCACTTCCATCTTCCTTTTCTTTTTAGAAACATATACAGTATTAAATGCATTCCAGAATGAGTTTAAAAAAGAATGTTGTGGGAAGGGGGAGGGGTAGAGATTTACTTTACCTCCTGCTGCTATATCAAGAATTTGTGGGCAGGGGACAAGCCATCTAAATTTGTCTGCAGGGTACAAGCCAGCTATTACAGGTCATAACATATGTGCTAAGTAACAAGCAAAATTATAACATGATGATCAAACACTGGCTCAAATGTTATTTACTGTTGCTTAAAAATATATTTATTTTTTTTCTTACCCAAGAGATTCTAGCCTTTTATTGCTGCCACTACCAAGATTCTCTTTTTCTTCATCTCGAGTCTTTAACATGTCTTCTTGTTTGCGAAGTCTTTCTTCTATTTCTTTCTCTCTCTGGCTTGTATCAACTGGACGTGCTCCACCAAATATAGAAGATGTTTTCTCGGGAACAGTCTCCACAGGTTTTGTCCGAGGCTGTAGATTTAATTTTGGTCTGTCTTTGGGAGGTTCTGCAAGTAAAAACAAAATAAACAGTTAAACAAAATGTCGGGGGACAGGTGAGTGTAAGTGTTAGCCCCTTACACATATGCCTCATTAAATTTAATCCAACAGTAAACAGATTGCACAAATAATTTTTCATTTGTTGCTATATTTTCTCTCTCAAGAATACTTGTGCATATATAGAGAGCAGTTTAGATTTTTTTAGATTGCATAAATATAGCATTTTTTCCAAGGTAAATGTGGCAAATAAAGTCTCGAGGTAGAGAAACATAAATAAAATATCTTTAAAATTGTAGAAAAAATATTCAAAACAATTAATATATATATATATATATATATATATATATATATATATATATAAAAATATAAAAACTTTCTATATACCTGACATGAGGTATTGAGACTATTTACTCTATTTACATTGTTCAGACTGTTGTCCTCATCTTTGTCATATTTACGATGTTTTGACTTGTAAACTCCGGCCTTCTTCAGGATATGTCTATATTTCTGATACGAGGCATTGTGACTATTTACACCTTTTGAACTGTTGTCCTTATCTTTATTGTCATATTCACAACGTTTTGGCTGTTGTACACTCTGGCTTTTTTCAGGTGATTTTTGGAATTTTGAACTGAACCCATAATCTAGTCCACAGGGGTAGACTGTTCTAATTCCATATGCCATGAAATTTCAAATATCACCTGAACAAGGGCACAGTGTACAATGGCTGAAACTTTGTGAATATGGCAATAAAGATGAGAAGTACAGTCCAAACAATGTAAATAAATTTTTTATAATAATTATATTTAAAACATACAGACCTCTAAAATGGATGGGTGGGGTGGTGGTGAAACATACGCGCACACAAAAAAAAAGCACCGCCATTTTCAAAATGTAATATGTTAATTTTTTTTCCAAGTGAAGCTATCTTCAATTATTTAAATAGAAAATGTGAAAGTCAAATCAGTAACCAGATGCTCAGTGAAAGTGAACCATATTCCTTGTCACATGAATGGAGTACATTGACAAAGAGAAGAATTCAAAGATAAGGAATCTATCTACCTATTTTAAGTTTCATTCTAGCTGGTTTGATGATAGTTATTGTAAAGTTTTACAAGCAGAGATTCACCAAATGCATACAAATCCTCTCCACCCAGATGAATATCAGTTTTTTTTTTTTTTTAACCTGGAAGTTTTCATTTTAAATAGTAGGCAGGCCAGCTTATTATAAGAGTATTACATACGGTTTTGTTAACGAGTTCAATCCTTGTTAACATTCATTATTCAACTCGTACCGATTTACACCATTTTTTTAAAAATGGTTTTCAATTGCCTTCAGATAGCTGCCTCTTGGTCAAAATATTTGTCAGTTGGTGTGCCGATTGGACCCAAGAAAATTGCAAGTATATCTACTTGTTCAATCATATTCGTTAAGACAGATATATCTATCTGGAGCTGCTTCTTGTTGAGAACAGACTAAACAAGAACTTTATTGTCTACATATTATTTCACAATAGGGGCTCTGTTACCAAATGTTAAGGTTTACAAGCATAGATTCATCAAGTACACTAAAACTATGTTTTTTGTTAACCTTTAGCACTCTGCATTATTAATATTACTTCCCTTTCCACTGCATTCTTTTTCAAGGCCTCTCAGTTGCAGTAACCTTATTGTTAATTCCACTCAAAAGTGTTTTCTGTTGCCATAGCAAGATATGACAGCACATCTATGAAATTCAAATTCAAAAGATCAGAGTCACTTTCAGTGGCAGGATAAAATTTTGAAAAGCAAATGGTCACATACAGAGTGATAGAGATTAAATTGAAACTCTCAAGCACTTTGTTATAATTTAACTATGACTCCAATGACAAAAGTGCAGCAAACCTGTAAAACAAGGGTCAGCAACCTACGGCCCATGGACCGGATCCGGCCCGCGAAGGCATTTTGACCGGCCCGCCAGCCTGGTTACCAATGACTATTTTTAACGAGAGACGAGGTTTTCTAATTAGACTATCTGCCAGTTATCTTTCATGAGACTTATTTTACCAAGTTGCGTTGCCTACGTTTAATGTCAAATAATGGATACATATTTGTTATGACCCTTGGCTACATTAAAAGATAACAGAAGCGAAAGGAACGATAAAGTGAAAGAGGCCAGGGAGGGACTGACATGCGAGGTAGCAGAAATATAAAGACAGTTAAATATACGCGCATTATACATACATGCCTCATGAATGTGTGGATGATACTGCATGTGTACGTACGTAAGTGTATATGTTTGCAACTATTTGTACTCGTATGTATGGGTATATGTGCTTCGTTTTTGTTTGACGTGTGTGGTTCGTTTGTGGAACAATTTTCAATAACAGTTTCAAACCTACACGTCATAATTTCATCCATTTTTTTCACTTTGAAGTATTTTGAGTTTGACGTTACTTGGTGTTTTTAATTTTAGATTTTCTTTTGTTTTTCTGATTTCTCAATGTTTATTTTCATTATGGTTTTAAATATTTAGGTTGACAGGGGTCTGCATATGTAATTTTTCTTAATTTTTCATTAATGGCCTTTGTCCGGCCAGTGGGATCAAATGAGTTGCCGACCCCTGCTGTAAAACTTTGTTACGCTTTGCTTATCATCAGAAGAATACTCAGGTGACATGTATTTTTGAAAATTTATTTTTTAATTACAAGATGCCTGGACTGGTTTTAAACAAACTCACTATTTTCTATGTTATAACTTGGATAGGAAAAAAATTTAATTTAATTTTACAAAATTAAAAGAGGAGATAAATACAAGACTTAGTCATTCATGTGCCATGCATGATACACACTTAGGTGATCATGTATCTTTCAATACATGACTGACGAGGCAGATTTTTTCCTTTAGTAGGTTGCCATTTCTTTCTGCGGTAGACCAGTTGCCATCCAAGGTTATAGAACCCAGTCTGTCCTGCTATTTACTGATAGCTGGGTGGAGAAGAGGATTCATACCTTTTCCAAGGGTATTAGCACATAAGTGAATGTAATGGATTTGACTGGAATTCGAACTCGGCTCTCAGATTCCTCAATCCGAGCTGCTATCCAGTACTTCACCATGCCTCCCCAAATATAAGACTATGAAATCGTAAATTCCTTCACAAACCTAGAATACAAAGCCTAAATAGAAAATTTTAATAATAATAATTAATTTTGGTTTGGTTAATAGCATAAATATTTTAAAAACTGGAAATAGAAAATCCTTTAACTCAATTGTTTTGCAAAAATTTGCACCTACAGAGAATTCTAAAAAAAAAAAAAAAAAAAAAGAAAAAAAAAAAGAAAAGAACTTTAGCTTTTTATTTGTTTTTTGAAGAATCACATTTTGGTACTAACTGCTTGTGTGCCAGTTTATTCAAAGATCACACAGTAAAATTACCAACTGAATTTTTAATTTTTGGGTTCAAAAATCTTTTTGGAAGTAACTGAATATTTAGTAGATAAATTCAGTTACTCAATCCATTTTGAAATGTTTTTCATTTTTCTTCTTTCAGAGAAGAAACTTAAATTCTAGATTCAGAAAAAAATAATTTTTTTGCTTTCAAAAGTAAATGGGAACCAAATAAAGTTCCTATTCTAACATGATTGAATTTTGATCAGTAATTGTCATTGTTCAATGCCTGTTCTATGATCAATGGAGAAGCATTGGGATAAGTGCATTGATAAGAAACTGATTGTGTTGAAGTATATGTTGTGTAAAATCCTTTTATGTCATTAAACTACTGGCTTAGTGATGTAACTATGTAAATTACTTAAACTCTCACCCAGTTTCCCAAAATTCTTCTAAAATTAGATTCCAGAAAAATTAATTAAAATATACAGACATTTTACATTAATTAGAAATAAGATGGTTAGGTGAAGGAAAACATGAGCAAGTTGTTATTAACACAATTTGAATCTTGGTCAGAATTAAAACATGCCAAGAGACATTTTATACCAAGTAGAAATCAGTGTCAATAAAGTTCTTTGGAAAACAAGAGATGGTTGATACATACCACGACTTGAATCACGGCTTGAATTAAAAGCCCTGCAAAACAAATCCATGAAAAATAGTTAGAAATACATAAAAACACATTTTGGATTATTGTATACTAGAATCTATTAACAACATAAAAACTGTCTATATTTCTCAGATGAAGTATTGTAACTATTTACAAAGATAAGGACAACAGTCCGAACATTGCTGTCATATCACATGATCCAGTGTATAAAAGTGTTGGTTGAAGTAATATAATAACTTGACCCAAAGAATTGTGAGTTCAATTCCTGGCCACAGCAGAGTTGAGTTAAAGGGAAATAAATGAAACTGAGATATCTGGAAGAGGCATGGCACATGGAACTAGAACAATCTACCCTGGTGGATGAAACAAAGGGTTTGGTTTGAAATTCTAATCACCTGAAGAAGGCTGGAGTGTACCACAGCCAATACGTTGTGAATATGACAACAAAGATGAGGACAACAGTCCAAACAATGTAAATAGTGTAAATAACACAAAAACTTCCGCCCATTATTACCATAAACTTAATTTTTAGCAATTGTATGTTTTGAGTTGATTAATTTTTTTTGTAAACAGTGAAATTAATATTAACCAGCATACACTGAGAAGCCCTACTATATAAAAAAAAATCTCACATTCACCCTTAAATCAAACCAATTCTTAATGAAAATTTTACTTAAGAGTTCTCATTATATATCTATTTCTACACAAAATTGAAAAACATTTTGATACTTGAAGTTAAACTCCAATGACTCTGTTCAAACAGACTTTTCTTACTTACCATACTAATTTGCCACTCTCTGCTGTCAAATGAATTCAATCTGTAGCAAGGGGTACCCACTTCAAATTTGAGACTGTCTTCTCAAAGAATTACAACCCTAACCCTCTCATAAACAAGGAAGCCGTTGCATTATGACATACCTGTCACCACTATAACTTCCTCCTCCTCCACCACCACCACCACCGCGTCTTTCATAGTTACGTTCAGAACCATAGTTTTTCCTGCCTCCATAACCTGAAAAATTAAAAGTGGTTATTTATGGCAAAAATGCTTTGCTTAGTCACCCCCACCCCAAAAGACTAAAGTAGCTAAATATGAAATCTTTTGCAAGAAGTGTTATATCAAATATCTTTTGTAAAACAGATCTAAGGTGCAACTAAATTTTAAAAAAAATAATAAATAAATAAATCAAAATCCCTGACTAGATTCTTTAAAAAAAAAAAAAAAAAAAAAAAAAAAAATTAAAAACATTCTTGATAAATGAATATTGGGACTTGCTATGAAATAAAAGAAAATTTCAATAGTTTTATTAAATGATTACAACAAATGTCTCAATTTTTCTTTTGTGCATTTCATACATTGTTACCAATGCTGTTAAAAGTTGAAGTGGAATTAATCAAATACAAAAGACATCATTTGAATTTTCTCTCTGATGGAAACGTTCTAAGATTTAAGAACTGTTATTATTAACAAGTCCTAAGGCGTTTCAAATGGTCCCATCTATATGAATAATAAATCAAGCTTTAATCAGTTTTATAAAATGATCATTTTTGGCTGATACAAAATATGAAAGGAAGCACCCACTGACTTTAGTTCCATTCCTATTCATAAACTTTTTTTTTTTTTTTAAACTATTGTTCAACCAGGGTCCAAGAATAGAGGATTACTGAATGAGATTCTTGTAAGAGTGTAAAGGGAGGATGAAGTAGTGCATATTATGAGGATATGTTAGATAGATATTGGTTTGAAAGAGTTTAAGAATGTAGTAATCGAGGAAGCATGGGATCTTAACAGGTGCTACTACCACCGCATCTGAGTGGACCTGGGAGCAACGCTCCTCAAAACTTCCAATCAGAGGCCTTGTTGCCAAACATAGTTTATCGTCATACCCATGACTATATTCCTCATGTCTGACAGATACTGAGGAAGGTCTAACTTTGGCAATGGACTGAGAAAAGTAAAAATAAAATATATAATATCTGATCAACAGTTAAATAGTAAAGACTAAATATGCATAAGGGACAAACTATTCTTTTTAACAATTCAAAATGACTATGGCACAATTCTTACAAAGCAACAGTTACCAACCAGAGCTACAAGAAAAGTAAAACATAAAACCCCCTTCAAATGTAATGCCATACACAAAGAAAATAATTCAAACCTCTATCATCATCTCGGTAACGGCCACCACCATAACCACGGTCACGGTCTCCATATCCACGATCATTCCACCGCTCGTTTCGGTCACCCCATCTATCATCGCCACCACGGCGCTCATTCCACCGCTCGTTTCGGTCATTCCATCTATCATCGCCACCACGGCGCTCATTCCATCGCTCATTTCGATCACCCCATCTTTCATCACCACCTCGGCGGTCATTCCACCGATCATTTCGGTCACCCCAACGATCACCTCTGGAAGAATCAACTGTGTAACCTCTGTCCCACATCTGATTATCATCAGACGGAGCAGCTTCATAGCGCTCAGACTTTTCATGTTGGCTTGGGCCACCCATTCGTTCCCAACGCCCAGATTCTGGAGCTGCACTGCCAAATCCACCACGGTCACGATCCCTGTCACCATAACGGCCTCCATCACGATCACCAAATCCATCATCTGCTAAGAGAAGAAATAATTACTAACAAGAAAATGAATTATGTACCAAAAGAGTACTACACTATAAAAAAGCCTCCCAGTTTTTCTTTTTTGTGCTGTTTCACTTCAGAATGTGGGCATTTACAGCTCTACAATTTCCTATCCTTTGTAGCTGTAAGTAATGTTTGGCCTCGTACTATTCCATCTAGTATCTGATCTGCCAACCATTTGCACAATCTTATTAGTGAAGTTAGTTTCTTCTTGCACCCACTACCTTCAATATTTCCTGTGAGCAAAATTCTCTAAGCCATTTTTTACCTGTACCAGCATTCACCTAGTTGGTTTAGCCAAATGAACCTGCTGCATCCAAATGAAAGCTGATCAGGTGTAGCAGAGATTGTATTCATTTGGACATGCAAATCCATAGTGGAAATTTGGAGTCACATCCAGTCCCCAGCCACATGCTTTTAGGGTAGTGTCATCTGGTTTGAATTCAGTTTCTTTCTCTTAAACTGGTAGCCACCCAAGCTTGTCCTGCTATTTTATCCATAGCTGAGCAGGGGGAGAAGAGATGGTTTATACCTTTCCCAAGAGTATTAGCACATTAGTGAAAGTAGTGAACTTGAATGGAATTCAAATTTGGCTCTGATTCCTCACTCCAAGCCACTAATAATTACTCCACCAAGCTTCTACTAAACTGTTGTATCGTTAAAGAAGGTTACAAACAGACAAAGGTGATACTCAGGTGCAAGGAACAGCACATGCACATAGATGAAAGAAAGAGGTTTATTGTATAAGAGAATACACTATTGAAAGACAGGGAATCAGTTAGCAAGCTAGTAATTCTCAAAGCAAGTCTGTCAGGTATATCCTGTGCTTACTACATATATATCTACTGATATAATCAGTCCACACAGGTGACAAGGGGTGTGGGACATTCCATTAAATAAACCCTCTTTTCACATTATGTGTCCCAGAATTTCAAGTCTTTCTGAAAAATTCCCCATTGCCCACATATTCTATCTGTAGAATTCTCAGCATTCTCCTGTAGAGCCACATCTGTTGTCTAAAATCTCATATTCACCTGGGAGGACATTGCCTAGCACACTCAGTCATAATTTGCATCCTAGTAGCTTTATTGCCTTGTTGGGGTGAAATATTTATATAAATAAAAGAAAGAGGGGGTAATAATCAGTTTCTCTTTGTTCCTTAATACTTTGCTTAGCTTTTAGAAGGCACCTTTTGGCATTCAAATGTGCCTTCAGATTTTTGTCACATTTTCTGCCCTCTATTATAAAATTCCAGATAATTAAATTTCTGTATTTGATTTTGATGTCTCCAATTTATATCTTGTATCTGTCCCTCTTGTTAATGACAATACACTTTACCTTTATACAATTTATGTTTAGTTCTTTTTTCCTACGTTCCTTTGTTATTATGTCTAGGAATGCCTGCAGCTTTTTTTCTGTGTTTGCCACAAAGTTAAGATTGGTCCACCAATAATAAATCCTGCTAGTACTCCTAGTTCTCTTTGGATTGCCTTGATGCATAGATTAAATTAGGTACCTCCATGAGATTGCTAAAAAATGAGCATAGCATGATGAAAGAGACGCCAAACTTGACGAAAACAAAATTTTATTGTCTAATGTTTATGTTATTATTAAGAGGAAAGAACAAAGTATTTTTTTAATTAATTTAAAATTTTTTTCCTTTTTAGAACAGTCTAACTTGATTAAAAAAACCTTGTTTCTCTTTGTATCAGTGGAACTACTAAATATAATGTTTTAGCATGTTTTTTTTGTATGACAGATATTAATTTAGAAAATTTTGCAAAGATAAAAATAATAGTCAGATTTTAATGAAACTTTCATGATGGAAATTATAAATATCCCCACCCTTTACAGTACTTTGTGAGTCATACTTCGCACCTTATTAGTTTCTGTTTCAATTAAGAATATAACCTAGAATTGAAACCAAATGCTGACATTGTTTCTTCATTCAATTTATTCAAGTATTAATTAATTTCTCCATTAAATCTATTTTAGTTGGCAATTAATTTTATTTTTTTCTTTGACATTTCCAGATGAACAAAACTGAAGAACTGCCATGGAATCTGGACAGCCAGTCCTCTGCAGCCATATTTTTCAAAAATTTATTGAAAAAAGTCATTGAGGACCATAGAAACATGGGCACCCTATGAGAATGCCAAAATTGATTTTTCTGAACTTTCACATCACAGAACTATGAACCTTTGGTGAATTTTAAAATTTAGGCATCAGGGCAGAAATTTTTTAAATTTGGAAAAACCTGCGAGGATTGGCACATTTTTGTACCTCAGCAACCCCAATCGAGACACTAACACTTATTGAAGAAAATGTCTAGTGTCTAGATAAAAAAAAAAAAAAAATCTTAGGCTTGTTGAAACAGAAGGTAAAAAAATTAACGTTAATGTTAAACAAGATAAAAAAAAAAAAAAAAACCCAAAAAGGTCCACACAATTGACACACAGGAAGATTCATTATGCTTGTTTGTTAAGTGGAGTTGTGGCAAAGAATGTTCCGGAACTTTTAACCAAATTTTTCACTATCATGCTGGAACTAAAATTTGAGATCAAATCTGAAACCGAATGGTGGACGAACTGGGTTTTTATTCAGATTTAAAACAAGTATTTTCATTCTTGCATCAGATAGTTGCAGCTTGATTTTTGATGCAACAACACAAGATGGGATTCATATTGATTGTGTTATGATCACAACACCATCATCATCTCATTTTGTGTTAATTGAGCAACTGCCTGGTGGAACTGAAAAGGACTACAGGTAGAACATCTCTGAAAGCATCAAGAACATGGCAGAAATACAATCGGCAGCATCTGGTGTGAGTGTTATTAACACTTAACCAAAAATGAATTACAACAATAAAGTGCTGTTTGACTGACCGGTTTCCAGGCAACCACTTCACTGTTTTCATACTCAAAAAAAAGAGTGGGATAAAAGTTTAATAGAATTAAACTGTAATGTGCATCCCTTGGAAGCAGTTTCCTCTAGAATTAAGAAGGAACTGCATGCATGTGAACGCAAGGCAGATTCTAGTGAGTGTGAAGTGTGGCAGCTTATTGTAGCACTGAATTCATTAAGATTCTGTGATAAATATCATCATGTAATCTTAATGAAGTAATTCATTAAAGAACAAGGATTATCAATGACACATGTTTGGAATGTTAATTCTGTTGATCAACTATTTATGAGTTGGGACAATGGGTTTTATGACTCATATTACGTTTTCTATGAAGATGAAAACGAAGATTATGAGTTGGCAAAATGTACATGGCAACCAATTACCTCATGCGTGATTTGGACATATCTTACAATTATTTGCATTTCAACATGTCCTGAGTAGGACAATGAAAGTACATCCAGCAGCAAGTCGCTATTCATCCATGCACAAGTTTTTTTTCATCGCGTGATCAAGTTAAAATTTTTAGTGCTAATTTCTATAGAGCTTACACAAGTAATTAAATACAGAACACTAACCAGTGATCATTGTGAATTCAAACTATGTGCTACACAAACATATGTCACTTCATGTGAAGTTTTCAAAGTTACTTGTGAACATATAACAAACTTCCAGAAATTCCTCAGTCCTCAATCCATTCTGCCTGCAGCTCATAATCATTCCTGCTAGTGAATAAATATTGCAATTTCATTCAAACAAAAGCAAAGTACTTGTTGACAAAGAAATCATCTGCTGATCTTTCATGAACATTCCAACTTCAAGTCTCATCAAGAGCAATTAAATAAATAAAAAGAAGTGTAAATGATTAAAAAAAAAAAAAATTTATTTTCAATATAACTAAAATTAAAAATACGAGACAAAAATTAACATTCCAAAAAATGTATAACATTTTAAATTAGAAGGATACCTACAATTAATAGCTACCTATTCAATTAAATTTATATAGTATTATTTTTGTATTATGTCCGTTATGACATTTTTCTATATGATATTTTAAAAATTAATAAATTGAGCCTAAAAATAATACCTTAAAATTTCATAAGTGTACTTAAAATTATACTATAATTTCATGTACATTTCTTAGGAAATTTTATCTCACTCTGCACTTATATTTTAATTTTTGTTTAGTAATTATAATTTCTCCTGATAGTATTAATAAACATAAGGTGAAAGCTACAATACTTAAATTAAAAAACTATTAGAATGCTGAAAGATTTTACTTTAATAATTATGAGGTCCATAAGCTAGTTCACTTAAAACTAAAAAAAAATTACGTCACTTCTGTCCTTCTGTATAACATGAATCTCACGTTAGCTGTCAATACATGACGAAACCATCACTCAACATGTCAATCTTCACCTTCGTTAAGACAGGTTGTATCTTATTTTAAATGACTTTTTTTTTTCAGTGAAGAAAGTAAGTAATGTTTCTTTCAAATAAATGTTAAAAGGTATAATTGATTTTATGAATATTTTTAAATGGAGAAAATGACCTAGTTTACTAAATTCTAAAAAAAAAAAAAAAAAAAAAAAGGCTGACATCAATCTTTAGTAATTTTGCTGACTAAAAAAAAGAAACAAGATTTGTAATTAAAATTTCGGACATGCTATGAATGAGTATATATATTAAAAAAAAAAAACACATACTTAGGTATTTCTTCTGATTAATAAACGTTCAGATGATTAAAAATTTTTGTCAGAAAGTTCCAGGCCGTTTTTGTCATGCTATGCTCTTGTTTAACGATATTCATGGAGGTACCTAGATTAAATAAATTTAGTGAGAAAAGGCATCCTTGTCTTACGCCCATGTCTGTTTTTTGAGTATTTGGTCAATTCATTTTCTATTTTTATCTGGGTGGTTTGTTCCAAGGTAAATGTTCACAATTATTCTAGTATGAAATAAATCAAGTTTTCTCGTATTTCAAACAGGTCTCCATATCTATTAATTCATACTAAGAAAATGATGTTTTAAAAGCAACATCTAAGATGGTCAAATAAAAAGCAAACTGATGACTTACTGGAACGTTCACCACCACCACCACCACCACCACCACCACCACCACCACGTCTCCAGTCACAATCTGTTCTGTCTATTTGGTCATCTGCACCACCTCTCCTATCTTCACGATCTGAAACAAACAAATATAAAAGAAAAATGAAAATAATTAACCTGTGTATTTGAAGTTAGTTAACCATTTCTCTCCTCTTTCAATTTAAATTTAACTATTTTTTTTTTTTTAAATTTCACTCCAAGCAATGCAATAAAGCCACTAAGATGCAAAGGTTTACCGAGTGTCAGAGAAGAGAAAAAAAAAATGAAGAAAAAAAAAATACTATTAATGAGAGAGAACAATAAAAGAACAGGAATTAAGAAAAAAAAAAAAAAAAATCCAAGCTATCAACCAGAAGTAAAGACAATCATTACTTTTAAAAAGTAGCTACACAATCTTCCCCTGACAAATTATCAACTCCTCTAAAAGAAAAACCATAGGATCTTAGCTGATATTGTTGGCATATTGATACAATTTATGAAACTTAAAATGCCTGCACATGCACACACACACACAAGTTCTACTGCACAATATTTAGAAACACATTGCTGTCCACCTTCACAATACAGGACAATATTTGTTGGCAGCACCAATCTACTACACCATGAAAATAATAAACAAAAACTTCAAATTCTTTCTGGTTAGCTCCCTTATATTGGGATGCTTGTTTTGCCAGTTACATAGCTACAATGAATAAATTAAAAATTTTAAAATAATTATAACACAGTGTGTTCACGCATGTTTTTTTAAAAATCACTCTTGTGACAATTAGTTACAATAAGTTGTCTTTGTAATTCATCCTGAGGATGATCTTAGAGGAGATTGAAAGTACTTGGCCAAGATAAAACTATGGCACCTTTCTTGATGACTTTCATCTTAATATCAAGAAACGTATTAAAAAACTAGAAAGGATTACTAGAAAATAAATAGACATGTCTATATTATTAAATGAAACATGTTTGAATGAAGATATGCTGCATATATAAAATGGTCAGCTACCAGTTTCCAAGCATACTCATTTACTCGGGCAGCTAGCCACTCCCTGTTGCAGGCTGCTCAGGCACATTTGGGTTTGTTCAACTCTCACAAATCCCAGGTGTGCTGAGTGGACCTTAGTTACAGTTTCTGGAAGAAAGTGCATAATCTGGCAGAATCAACATTTTGAACAAGGTCAGTACAGTCAAAAATTCAGACAAAATGAACTGTGATTTCATGCTAGTACAACAATCAATAGATCCTGAACAGTTCTATCTACACAATTTAATTCACAGTGCTTTGGTAAACCTGTGTTAGGATTTTCACGCACTTTCTAAAGTTGCTGCATGCTGTGATCACCTCCATGGTCCAATAACTGAAGAACTCATTTTTCTGACAAATTAACCGTGGTGAGATTCAAGTGTGGGGCTCATGGTCAGAAAGTGAACATTTTAACTACTTGCCCATTTGTAATATAAATTAATTATCGTTTAGTACTATCTCCAAACTGGTACAGACATATAGCTCACAAAATGACCTATGTTGGGACATATTTTCATTGTGTTTGGTGTGTCATTTAGCTTAGTCTGTAGAGTATCCAATCAAAACCAAAATGAGAAATCAATGTTATAATAGTGCAGCAGTGAAAGTGCTAAAAAGCATTTAAAAGTTGACACAAAAAATCATGCATATCAATAACACAGTCAATCATACGCACCCATGTTTCCTGAAAGAGCAATCCGTATTTTTCTTCCTTGAATCATCTAAAGAAACCAAATAAAATATTCACATTAATTAAAAAGATAAAAGTGGAAGTAGAAACATGTTACCTTTACTATTTGGTGTCAAATACATCATGCTAATATCCTACTTAATTGGTCAGCATTTAAGCTAGCTCCTGCAGAAGGCTCTTAATTGGGTCTTCATCACAATAGGTAAAGAGGAGTAGATGCAATAGGCAACAATAAACTATAGAAGAACTCAAAATTGATTGCTGCATTTAAGTATTCCATTAATATTTAAGCTTACCTTTTAAAAGTTCAATGATAACTCTTCTGCTGCCACTTAATTTAAAGACAATTTGATATACATAGATCCTTACTTTCCGTACAAACAATTATTTTTATTTCATAGATGACTTTCGCTGGATTTCGCAATTAATTTTTGTTATTCAAAAATTTATTTCCAAGTTATAAAAATTGTTATCATACAAAAAATTTGTTGCAAAAAAATCACATACAAAAATTGCTGGAAACAATTGCAGTCATGGAAACTTTGGAATCCTAAATTTCAGAATTGCAGGTCCAGATCTGGCCTGGAATGTTTTTAATTTGCTCACGGAGTTAACCTGATTCCAAAATGGTATAATATGTTGGGCTAAAGCTGCTAGGAGTAAAGTTGAAAAGTGCAATACAGTGACATTTGCATTTATTATATAGATTGTAAGACGGTACGAAGAGTTTCAACCTCATCCCCTCCCCACCAAAAAAACTAAGTTGTGTCATTTATCAAAAAGCGTGATAAGACTTGCCTCCCACCAAAAAAACTAAGTTGTGTCATTTATCAAAAAGCGTGATAAGACTTGCCTCAGTGTTTTGTTAAAAATTATCTTGGAAAAATTTAAATTATTGCATTTATTTTTTCCTCTAGAAAAAAATTAATAAAAGACATAAAAGCTACATAATACATTCTTGCAATCATATGAAAGCTAAGCCAGAATTCTAGTCAAAAAAAGATCACTCTCAGCTTGGCCCATGGAGAAAAAGTCTGATGTCATGGAGGCTTGAAACTTTCTACAACTTTAGAATAGAGATCATTGAGGAAGCATTCTGGTGTGCAATATATATTTTAAATCAGTATCACCCCAAGAAAGGCAGTAAAGCCACTAAGACACAAGGGATTTTCTTGCACTTCCCACTTATGGAACTCTGTTCTGGCTCCATGTTTTCCAGCCAACTTTAATCTGCAAAAATTGAAATGCAATGTCAAATGTTCCCTGTGTGTGGAAGAATTAGGAACAAACATTAATAATGACTGGGAAGAGGAAAGAGTAATCAGGAGGACAGTAGATAGCTATTGACATTGCATTTCAATTTTTGCAGAATAAAGTTGGCTGGAAAACATGGAGCCAGAAGGGATTCCCACATGCAAGAAGTGGGAGAAAAGAAACTTTTAGCATAGAACTTATGGCTACATCTAGTCAGCTCAACTGTAAATTGATGAGACTTCATCACCAGTCTAGTACTGTACTTAAATTAAAAAAAGTCATGGGACCATAGTGAAGGGCTCATCTGAACAATTACCATGAAAGTATTTATAGAAAAGACATAAGCAGGCAAACTTACAGCAGTTGGAAAGTGACCGAATCCAAGCCACCAGAACAGGGCCAATAAATGTTTGATGACAAAACAGAAAAGCTAGTGGCGAAACTGGTTTAGATGCAACAGGTTGTATTGGGTTACGTGTTGCAAAAGAATAAAAATCCAACTTACATCATCGTTCATTGACAGGGCTTCAATAAGGGATTCTCTATCTTCAAAATCCACATATCCGAATCCTCGCAACTTTCCTTTTTCAGTTGGTAATCGAATATTTGTCACCTGTAATAATAATAAAAAAGTAAAGAAAAAATATACAAACTATTTAAAAATACACTTTGTGAATTTGATTTTCAAAAGCACACTAGCTTTGCCAAACTGTTTAAAGAAAGCAACAATGGATTCATATTGGGCTGACAGCCCAATTCACTATAGTAAGCTTATGAAATGGTGATTATATGGTGCATTAAAGTACCATGTGACTTGTTTTTGAAGATTATCTTTACAATGGCAAATCCATAAAAAGAGAACATTCAGTTATGTGCCATGCATGATACATGCTTAGGTGATCATATATCTTTCGATACATGACTGACGAGGCAGATTTTTTCCCCCACAGTAGGTTGCCATTTCTTTCTGCGGTAGACCAGTTGTCATCCAAGGCTATAGAACCCGGTCTGTCCTGCTATTTACCCATAGATGGGGGGAGGAGAAGAAGAGGATTCATACCTTTCCCAAAGGTATTAGCACATATGTGAATGTAATGTATTCGAACGTGGCTCTCCAATTCCTCAATCTGAGCCGCTATCCATTACTCCACTATGAAAAGAGAACAGAAAAGTGAATATCTAGTCTTCCTTATAATTCAACAATACCTAAAGGAAGGAAAATAACATTTAATTTTGATTATATTCCATTTAATGTGACAGCCAATGCATAGTTGGGTTAAAAGTATATTGGGGGTAAAAAAAACCCCAAAAAACAAAAAACAAAAAAAAAAACAAAAAAAACGTGTGGAATAATAAAAAGGCAATTTCTGAATACGTAATTTGATAATACAAAAACACACAGTTAATTTCTTTGTTAATCTCATCAGATACTGACATTATTTGTAAATATATATGCATTGAGTCTTCAAAAAATAAGAATCTGGCTTTAACAGTTATAGAAATATAGAAATTCTGTAATTTTTGTGCAAAATAAAATGTTAGATGATATCAGAATAGATAAGGTTTGGCTAGTTTCATTTATGGAACACCCAATAATCATTGAAATTGATCTCACACCAAAAATGGGAATAAATTTTACTTTTTTTTTGGTATATTTTTTAAAAATTAAAGTTTTTTAATGAAAATAAATGGGTTGTCCACCTGTTGCCTTGTGGCACATGAGGCTTCTTGGTGAGGTTTCTATAATCAAATTGTTCTTTGGGGTTGAGTGGAGTGATAAGCCCCAAGCTCAACTTCTGGGGATAGGTTGGTTTTCTGTTGGCATTTTCCTTTTCTAAGATGACCAAGTGTTCACATGCTAAGGAGTTCCATCTACCTAGGCTTGGAAATTCAGTTTTCCTTTACCTAGACTGGTTACCAACCAAAGCTGAAGATCTCCATGATCTAATCCATGTAAAGTGAATACAACAAATCTAACTATTGCACTACCTGCACATCCTAATAAAAATAAACAGCCTAAAATCATAATTGTTCACCTATATTCACATTCAATTATCAAGAATTTACAGATAAGTTACATTCATTCATTGACCATATCGTGTGTGTAATTTTTTTTCTTTAATCAATTCATTCAAAGCAAAGCGATAATGCCACAAAGATGCAAGGGGCTACTGGAAGGGAAAGAGAATGAGAAAACTTTAGAAGGAACTGGAAACCGAATAATAGCATAAATTTCAGAGTCTAGACAAAGACATTAGAAGTATAGTGTTAAAGTAGACTTTAGAAGGAACCTCTACTCCTATTCAAAAGGCTGGGGAGGAGGTGAACCATACAGTATATATATATATATATATATATATATATATATATATATATATATATATATATATAATTATTATTTATAACATAAATATGTTATAAAATCACTACAAAAATAGCCATTTTGTTTCAACACCCTCGGTGTCTTATCAAGTGATGATGTTGAAGATAAAAGTTTCAAATTAATTAACGATCCTTCGCTAGGGGAAAACATTGTTACAAAAGTTAGAATGACCAATCAAAATCCAAGTATAGGAAAATTCAAAAGCTTGACAACGAAATCATGTTATACTTGGGTGTATATATATATATATATATATATATATATATATATATATATATATATATATATATTCCTTTTCTCATGTATAGAAGAGTGGTCTATTTTTAAGCACTTAAAACATAAAAAAATAACATAACTGGTAATAAATAACTAAATAATATACAGGGCACTTGTCTAAATTACGCAAAAGTGAAAACAACATGGACATCTCATTTTAACAGATATATTTACCAAAATTACACAAAAATATCTTTAAATACCAAAGAGTAAATTTATTCAATAAAAATCGCCATTGGCTTCAACCATGATCTTCAAACAACTTCGGAAACTTCTGCAACTCTTCTGAATAGTCTTCTTTAAGTTTCTGAATGCTGTCATAATCCTTGCCTTCAGGTCATCTTTGGTGTTAAGAGGAGTTTTGATGGTCTCTCGCTCAACTGCACCCCACACATAATAATCAAGGGGGTTGCAGTCAGGGGAGTTAGGTGGCTACATGTAAGGGATGATGTGGTTACAGAAATTGTCTGACAGCCATGACTGGGTTCTCCTGCTTGTGTGGCATGGAGAAGTCCTGTTGCCAGACATAGGGTCTTCTAGCAGCCACTCTCTTGACCCAGAGCAGCACTAGCTACTCAAAGCACTTAATGTAGCTCTCACCAACAAATTTGGGAGTTCTTTTCTTGTCAGAATAATCAGAGTGACTTTTCTGAACAGCCGTACCTACATAATCGCCATTAGACTCATTTGAAAGTTTGAATTTCACCATGTGGTGATCTTTTATTTCCAATCCAGCACAGTCTACTTCAAATACTATAAATTGACAGCCTGAGTAAAAGCCGTATTCTATGTATAAAATTATGTGACTTCCATTATTCCATCTGTGACACCTTCTAAAATAGCCATACACTGTCTGATCAAAATCAAATTTTGACGAGAAGTACAAACAGATAAGTGGGTATAAAGTACAGTTGGTTTTACTAGGATGCATAGCTGAGCACAATAAATTTTCATTAATTTTTTTTTGAAAATTAAGTTTTATTATTTAACATACAAAATACTACCACTATTTTAAAGACAATTTAATGGTTAAAATAAATACTTATTTAATAAAAATGCAATATTGTTTTTTTGCATAAGTTTTTATATATACAAGAATCTAGTTTCTCCTGTGTTTGCAAGAACTATAAACAAATCACAAGGCCAAATGTTTCAAAAAATTTGAATTTGGTGCCAGAAAGAAATATTTATGCATGGCCAGTTGTATGCTGCATGCCCAAGAGTAAGAAATGCTAAGAATTTATTCTTTGCTGTTAAAAAGGAAAAGGGAAAAAGATAAATTTAAAAAAAAATATTGTTTACCCTGAAGTCCTATAAAATTAAATTAAACTGTAAAGTATGGTTTTTGGCAAAGTATTTTTCCAAACAAATGAGCTTATTCAGATTTCATCAACTAATTTGTGAAATTGAACAAAGTGTAGAGCTTCTAAATCTCAACAATACTAAATACTATGAGGATTTCAACATGTGACAGTGTTTTGAAAAAAAAAATAAAAAAAAATCGAGTTGTAATAAAAAGCAAAGTAAACACTAGTCAAAAGTGAATAATAAAATGAAACCTACCTTGAGTTTATTAAAGAACTTGTAAATTTTATCCTGTTCAGTATCATAAGGTAAGTTTCCAATATAAGCAACAAAGGGAGGTTGTTTAGGGACAGTTTCCAAATCTATATCAGGGCCCCGAGCAGCTCGTGGAGCAGTCGGCAACATAGACCGATCAATGACAGATTTATAAGGAACCTCTGGATAATCCCCTGGAAAAATAAAATTAAAGAAATAAATGACACTATTTCTTGGGAGAGTAACCAATTTCTATTACTTAAAAGCAAATTAGTCGTTTTAATAGTGTAGCATTTGAATAAACTCAGTTACAAAATATTTTCAAAACACTATTTGCTTCAGATTGTATCAATCCATCTCCTGTTTACATGCCTATCAAAATTCATCTAACACTGACCTATCATTTCAGAATATTAATGACTGATGATAAAAGCCTTTTTGATTATTGAATGAGTGGATCCTGAGTATGAAAATTATAATAAATCAAATATAAGAACACTTTTTGATTAAGCAAAGAGACAATTAGAGACACTGAAATAAATAAAAATATTAAGACATTTTATTTAGCTGCATTGATTAAATTAATTCCCTGTATTGTTCCAGTAAGTACCTGATACTTCCTTATATCCTCTACCTTTACAAGTGCCAGGTCAGTCCGAAGATGTACTGCTGTCATATATGGGCAGGAGCTGCCTGCCCAGTCTTCACTTTCTCCTCTCGATAATGTCCAAAAGTGTCTCCACATCCTAGTGGGTGATGAAATGTTTTCCAGCCTGTAACCTCTTACAGACATCACAAGTCTCTTGCTATTTCCATGGAAATTGTCCAAACAAACTACATTCCTTATATCAGTTCTAACCATCACAGCTAAGACCCACCATGTCACGCACTTTGCAGTGAACCACTTTCATTCTCTTCATATTCCACAGGTGAGATATAAGTTCCACTTGAGCAGCTTCTTCCTACAACCACTGCTTTATGGAACCAACTTCCAAAAGATGTTTCCCTGACCTAGCTGTTCTATCTCCCCCACAAAACTGTGCCTCTTACTCTGTAACCTTCTACCAAGAGTGGCTCTTGGGCCTTGTACAGGGTGAACATCATTGTTTAAAAAAATAAAATAATTTTTGCTAGGCCAAAAACTAGAGCATAAGCCATGGTCACTGATGGAACCTTTATGATGTGATGAGACAAACACACTACAGATTTTTCTCTCCAAGCACTGATATAAACAACAGAAGTGAACAACATTATAACTTAGTGTGTATGCTCAACAGAATTCAAGGTCAATCTGTGCCAAGAGGTTTTACTTGGCAAACTTTAGCTTCGTTACCATAGCAACAGTCACAATACTTATTGACCAGACCATGTATTCAGTTCAAATACAGGATTTATAAAAGCGACTTTAGAACACCACACATTTTGGCTTATAGTCATTTTATTACTCAAGGGTTGTTGCCAGAAAGAAAGGGAAATTAGCTGTTGAGGACAGCTGTCCATTCTAATTTCATTCAAATTGTGTGTATATCACAACTGGAGAAGAGAAATTAAGCTAATTGTGATCAAACAAAAGAAAGAAAATCTGTGACAACAAAGTTGTAGTGATTGTGACCAGGAACTGACATTCAAAACTGTCAATGCAGTTCCTCATTGAATGAAGTCTTCAATGAGCACATCTATTATCTATCTAGACACAGAAACCAAAAATGTAAAAGACAAACTTTTTCCTGTAGAATGGACTGAAAAGTAGTACATGTATCTACAGATATCATCATAGCCTGTCCCAAGTCTACAAATATGTGGCACATAGTGAGGACTGAAGTCATTACAGATGAGTAAAAACTTGCTAGCAAACCACTCCTCTATAGCTAGGTAGTCCAAAAGAGCGAAACATGTAAAACTAGTTCATAAAAAACAAAAACAGTAAAGATGAATATTACTAACCATCTGGGTCCTGACTTTCCACCTCATCAGCCCATGAATTGAAGGTAGGGCGGGGTCGCACGATACTGCTCCCCGGACCTCCTGGCAAACCTCGCTGATCATCAGCAAGAAAGACACTTAGTTCAACTGTCTTTCCTTTTAATTTCTTTTGCTTTTTACCTGGATAAAAAAAAAAAAGAAAAAAGTTTTATAAATCAAGTAAAATTCAAATAATGCAAAGAAATGAAAAAGATTGCAAATATCTGTCATACAATCAATTTTTGTCATAATTCAAAAAGAAAGAAAAAGAGGGATGGCCTTGACACTTAATTTTTAAAATAAAGTTTGTTAGATGATGTCACAAAAAAAGTAAAGTGAAATTTATTATAATCAAAAGAGTCTGAACTGGTATAATTTGCTATCCAAAATAGTTTAGTTAACAAGTACATTCAAGAATGTAATTTTTTTTCAGTCTGCTTAGATAACAAAACAGTGATTGGCCAAGCAGAATTTAACTATACCAGGGCCAAGTAACTGGTACAGAACAGACAAAACTTGTCTCTTCAATTTGCAGTTCACTAAAGCCAAAGACTTGGTCATTATTATCATGAAATCAGATGTTATTTGTGTGATAAAAAAAATGTGATGACTTCAAAGATAATCCTGTGACAAGTTTATTCTGACAAAGTGATCAGAGGAGAAACTGAATTATACAGTTTGATTGTATTTCAATTGTTGTCAGTTTCTGTAAACTATTTGTTGATCAATTCATTCTACTACAGGAATTTCAAACAATGATGCACAAAGTTATGAGAAGTCATTGCACTAAAGCAAGGCTCAATTATCTGATTTAAGAAATACACATCTCTTGTTGGGACATTTCAAAGTTGATATTTGCTAAATTTCTATATTTAAAACAAAATATTTTTCACAATCTTAGACTTTTGTGCCTGCAAAAAACAACAAAAAAACAAAGTCTCAAAAGGATGACTTTTCTATTGACATTGCTTTTAACTACTTTCACCCCCTGGCAATAGTTATTGTTTTAAAAAGCAATGATTAAAATTGGAATAAAATCTAAACATATGATGTAAGTGAAATTATTTTTTTTGTTCTTGAGAATTTATAAAAATATCAAACACTATTAAACCAAAATTAATTTCCCAGAAACCATGTGGCAGTGGCAACAGTTTAGGACCATTCAAGATTCCATCTATCTTGGTTTTGTTGAAGCATTCACAATGTATCTAGACATCACAACAAACTTGTTTTAAACTAACCGTTTTTATCACTTTCACTTCATCAATTTCAAGAATAAAATACTTGGCTCAAATAAAGAAATTGACTGCAAAAAACGGATAAAAAAAGAAAAAAAAGATTAACTTTTTTTTTACTCTCAAATTCAAAGCACAAAGACAAATTTGTCCAAAGCTATACTTTGAATAGAATGGTTTGGCACCAAATTAAAAACAGTGCTACCTGAAGAAGGTATTTGTACTTCTTTTTAAGTGTATAAAACAAGGGAAAAAGTCTTGCTCAACTGCATTAAAAATAATCTATGACCTTAGTATTTTGGTTAAATTCTTTCAACAGGAGTTTTTCTTTTATTAAACAATTCCCCAATTAGTACCTAAATTTCTAAATTATTTCCTCCTTAATAGATACTTTGCCAATTCAGTCATCTAAATAATGGATATAACAGATTCCAAGTGGTGTTGCATACAAGTTGATGATTGAATTTACTCTGCAAGGATTGTTAACACTCATTAACTTTACATATTTGTAAAATCTTGTTTCTTAGACAGCACAAATATCAAATACTCCACATGTAATAATGATTAAAAATAATCCACTTATTTAACCACTCTACACTTTTGAAAGATTAGTCTCATACTCTCTTGATTGCAGCTCTTCAATGGAGAAGTCAACTGACTCCTTCTCTCGGCTAGTCTTAGCAACCCCTAAGCTCTCCATGCTCAGGATATAGGGAAGCCAGTGGCAGCATACTGGTGTACTGCAGTTGTTGAGCACTGATGGACTATTTGGTCTCCACTACTCTCTTCAGGTAGGTGGCAGAGTCTTCCAGCAGAACCAATGGTTGGCGATAGCTAATAAAGTTAGCATGTTACTGTGGGGTATTTGGATAATGCTATCATTGTGCTGCTTAGGTTTTTTATGGGATCAAGTGTGAGTTAAACCATGGATTAGTGCTGTTAGTGTGCAATGACAATTTGGCATTATAACAGACAAAGAGAAAGAATTGTTGAATTTCTGTATGATGTAGTGAAGGTGGTGGCATCAGGCCTGAGATGCTGGAGTAAGATGGTTGCATGCTGATAAACCTGCATGCAACTCTAGTATGAGGCAGCTGCTCTAGTGTCCAAGCAGCCATATTGACGGATAGCAATGCTGGCCTTGTTACCAAAGAAGTCTCTCGAAAAAGGCGGGATCAAAATTGCTTGCCCATATCTTACCCTGATCAGTTTGCTGCAGCTGATGGGCCTCCACTATTGCAATACCCGACAAAACAAAAGAAATTGGAAAACACAGAAGCAGTTCAAACTGAAGGTCGATGACTGGAATGTCCCAACTCTCCTAGACAGAGAACACATCATAGCCTTATATCTTCGTTGAATGACGATGATGATGACTTTTGAAAGATATGAACATCAACTAAAGTTAAATCTTCATTTCAAAATTATCAACGGAAAGAGATGATTTAATAAATTTAACCCTTTAACCTTTAACATGCTCAAACCCACCCTGTAAATATCAGTGGTCAAAGTCTCACAATTTGTATGACTTTCTGCGTTATTTGTGATGATGTCATATTATGGCAGAGTATGTATGAGGTGCATTATGAGGGGTTGAACATTGAGAGTCAATATTTATGAGGTGGGCTGAATGCTAAAGAGTTAAAGAAAACAAGTTTGTTCCCAAATCTGGAATACTTGGAAATATTGTGAATGGTTGTGTTCCTCAAATATAACTGAAAATATTTCTATATCTAAGTTCCTAAGAAGAAAATTTTGTTTAATCAATGTCTCAACAAAAATAAAATTTCATGAATAACATTTGATGAAGAAACTTTTATATTTTAATTCCTTTTCAGCCTTTTTAAATAACTTCAATATCCATTAAAAGATAAATTGAGAGTACAAATATAATTAAAGACTGTTTTTACCTTTTATAAATCTTGGAAAACAGATTGGAAATAAAATTTAATTTTTATATTTTAATAGGTGTCAAATGAATTAAACACACATTTAAATCATTTAAATGTTGTCTCCCATCTTGAGCTGTTTTGAAAAAAAAAAAAAAAAAAAAAAAAAAAAAATCTCTCAGTTCAGAATATTCTAATATCAAAACCGGCTTTAAAAGGATAACCAATTGTGGGTGTGTCCATTTCTCAAGAAATATGAAAGTCAGTTTTCAAATTAAGTGAAAGTTTGAATTGTATCTTCAAAAAAAAAAAAAAAAAAAAAAAAAGGGACAAAGTAAAACTGAAAATATATTTCCTTTTGTCTCAATTCCTCTTTAGTTTTACAGAAAGTTATTTTACATATTGGAATCTATATATACAATTCTGTGACTTCCATTAACTTGTTTGTCTATTACACTCTCTAAAATAGCCATACATTGACCAATTGAAACCAAATTTTGGTGAGAAGTGCAAACAGGTAAGAGGGTACAAAGTACAGTTGGTTTTACTAGGGTGTATAAAATAAATGTCTAAATAGATAATAGATATGCCCATTTATAGTACAATAAATTTTTATTCATTTTTTGTTTTGGAAAAATTATGTTTTATTACATAACATACAAAATCCTTCCCATTATTTTTAAAAACAATTTAATGATTAAAATAACAAATATTTATTTAATAAAAAATGCAATAGTTTTTTTTTGCATATCTTTTGTTTAAGTGTGTGTGTGTATATATATATATACACACACACACACACACACACACACACACACAAATCCAATTTCCAGTTCGCCGTGTTTGTGAGAACTACAAACAAATCACAAGGCCAAATGCTTCAAAAAGTTGGAATTTGACTCCAGAAAAAAATATGTACACTTGGACAGTGTATGTTGCATGCCCAAGACTAAGAAATGCTTAGAATTTATTCTTCACTGTTAAAAAAAAAAAATAAAGAAAAAAAAGAAATTTTCTTAAAAAATATTGTTTACCATGAAGTCCTATAAAATTAAAGAAATTATTAAACCGAAGAAGGATTTTTGTTAAAGTATTTTTCTAAACAAATCAACTTATTCAAATTTCATTGACTGGTTTGCAAAATTAAACCAAGTGTAGAATTTGTAAATCTCAAAAAATGTTAGCGATAACTTCAACATTACTAAATACTGTGAGGATTTCAACACTTGCCAGCATTTTGCCAAAAAATTCTAGGTCTTTAAAAACCAAAACTTTTGATTTCTGAAATGTAACTATTCTTTGTGAAATGTGCATTTATTGGTTGGTTATTACTTGACATGTCTCTCAGATATCTGCATGTATTAAGTGGTAGTAAAGCACTACTCACCATGTAAACTTATAGTACAAATTTATATTTGAAATACACCAAGTTCTAACTTACATGGTGTATTTTAGTATTTACATTAAATGAGATCAATTTTGGACTATAATGGGCATCATGAGATGGAAGGCCTTGGTTGTCTATTTGGTAGAACACCATTACTTATTGGTTGTTTGGTCAGAAGTGAAATTAACCAGTAACCATGAAATTAAGATGCCAAAATGAATAATAGAAAAAGCTATTTATTTGGGCAGCTGACCTAGTGGGAGAAGTGGTTAATTGGAGGAACCCAGATAACAGCAGAAGCCATGTAGAAGATGGAGCCAGACCAGAGAGAAGAGAATGCTGAAAGCAACACAGTTATTTTTTCCCCTGGGGGCCTCACTTTGTCATCAACGTTTTTGTACACTTCACTCCAGGTAGTCCAAAGAAATAAATGTGAGATATTCTTTATCAACATGTTTGCCTCAGATTTTAGTTATGGTCTTTACAAAGTGAGTGTTTTATGTTTGATGGTGCTAACTTTTCAGATGTACTTGAACTACTAAAATGCTGCTTGCTAAAGACACAACAGGGCTGTTCAATTTGGTCAATTCAAACAATGTAGCTAACTCAACAATTGTTACGCAACAAAGTTTCTCTCACAAATCTAATTAACCATTTGTTTATGCAGAATTTATAAATAGATTTATTGCTCAGGATTTTAATTCTGGTAGTAAGTTCAAGTATATTTCTCACCAGAATCCAGTTTACACATTTATAAGTCTGGTACTTCTATGTATTTAGAGATTCTAGATAAAATACAAAGAAGTATCTACAATGTTATTGGTCCTGACTGGCATCACGGTTTCAGTTACTTTCTCACCTCTGTAATGTAGTTTCCCTGTGCCTTTTAAATATATTTATGGTAAATGTTTTGATGAACTTTCCTTTTTGGTACACAGACTTTATTAAACACAGTACTAAATTGAAAATACAATTTGGAAACTCACTAAATATCACTGATAGTTCCATTCAAGTTGACTGAGACAGACTATTAAGTTGTTGCAAATGAACATTAAAATTGCATAAAAATAATTTTACACACAATAGAAAGATAAAACAAAAATGATAAAATAACAAATATTTAGAAGTATACAAGATGAACATACTGGAAAAATGGATTCTTACAAAGAAACAAAATGCTGTTAAATTTTAGTATTCTTGGTATTTCAAATTTAATTTTTACTATTTTTTAAGGTTCTGTAGTAAGTGTAACTATACCATATCCCTCTGAACAGTTGCTCTGTTTTCAATGTATTTCATTTTATATTGAATACAAAGAAAATGAAAAAAGAGAGTAGAAAAAAAAAATGCAGTCTTTGTTAAGTGATATTCAACAAAAGAGAAAATGTATTCAATTTTTTATGGATTTTTTTGTTCAGATAAATACAGAAAATACATAAATGTAGTTTACATTAGGATCTGATTTAAAGCAATATTTTGTTTTTATAAACTTCCTCTAGACAAAAAAAAAAAAAAATGCAAATAAGTAAAGAAAAAAATCATACTTATAAGGATTTGCAAACATTTTTCTGCATGAATTCATTTTATACTGAATTTAAATTGAAATAGGAAAATGAAATTTGTATCATTCAATCTAACTCTTAATTTTTTTCCAAGTATGCAGGACAGTAGATGTAATACACACTGTTTTAAAAACAGGGTGTCTATTCAAATATGAGTATCCACTAAAAATAATGCTTGAAGTATGAAACATATTGGATTAAAAATAAAAGCTCACTATTTTGTTAGAAATTGCTTTGTTTACATTTCAGATATGGATTTGACATTCTTTAAAAGGGTGAATAGAACCTTGTGGAGCTGTGACACTTTCCACGGCCAAGTGGTCTAAAGCATGTCAGATCAGACGGTGGTTTCTCCTACATGTTTGAACCCTGCGAGAGAGCACATTTTCATTAAGTTTTTAAGTATGCAGGCCAGTAGAAGTAATACTTCTGTGTGCTGTGTCCCTTTAGGATGTAGACAATCATGGCTCTCCACAATTTCTTGTCCTTACACAGTTTTAAAAAATAGGGCGTCTACTCAAACATGGATATCCACTAAAAATAATGTTTGAAGTAATAGAAAATGTCAAATATATATCAACAGAGTCTACCAAGATCTGTGAATGAATAGTTAAAACCAACCATGTGACAATCCTTTTTTCCAAACGCTGAAAATATGGCACAGTGCAATCTTTAGGTCATTAAAACATTTAAATTGCTTCTTGGACTATGGCGCCTGTTTAGTACCTACATGGGTGATCGTTTGAGAATACCAGGTACTGTAAGCTTGGATGTGTGGTTGATGTAATGGATAACAGCTTGAATTGGAAATTGGAGAGCAGAGTTTCAATCCTAGTTGAATTCATTATATTCACTTACATATAAATACTCTGGAGAAAGGTAAAGATCCACCTCCCACCCAGCTATAGGTTAATTAGTAGAACATCAGTAAAAATCCAAAACATTCTTGCAATCTAAAAATATTTTTGGCTTTAAATAATTTACAAAAGGTTGACAAGCAATAAAAAAAACAAACCAAATTCTGGAGCTATTTAACAATTAATATTTAATTCTATTCTTAAGAATTTCAGTTGCAAATAGAATTCAAGGCATCAAACCAATAAAAATATCATGCTATGTTCATATAAGCATGAAACAAGAGTAAAAAGTATGGTAAACGTAATATAAAGATAATTTCAATAAAATGC